ACATCACTTGTTACCTCCAGTCTCCTTATAGGAGCCAGTAGTGTCTCGGGATGAACAGCTTTGGTGCAACCCGTTCTCGCACTTTCTTACAGTCAATATTGACTTATTAAATATGTGCATGTGTGACATACTAATTTATTGTGAATATTTTAGGTTTACCTTGAAAAGCTTCATAGAAAACACCGACCTTACCTAACCTTCTTAGTATGTTAAGATAGGCATCTTATTGCTTTGTAATTACAGTTATTAGGTTAAGTAATAATTGTAATTACGAAGCAATAAGATGCTTATCTTAACATATTAAGAAGGTTAGGTAAGGTCGATGTTTTCTATGAAGCTTTTCAAGGTAAACCTAAAATATTCACAATAAATTAGTATGTCACATATGCACATATTTAATAAGTCAATATTGACTATAAGAAAGTGCGAGAACGGGTTGTTTGGTGACACGTGGTGGCTGAGCGGTACGGCGCGCCTCTGGCATGCACCAAGCTTCTGGCTCAATCCTCGCTCTGCGCCAAGTTTTTATTCAATAGTAATAATAACAATATACAAAATGAAATCACACTAATGTAGTACCCAGGTCGAGGGTTCGAATCCCCGCATTGCTCCAGTAGATTTTCTCAATTAACGTATGATTCAATTGCGTTACTCATTGCACACTACCGAGAATTTTACGAGTTGGTCTTAGAGGAAGGTTGGAACGTGGACGGGTACGGCTGAAGGAAACACTTGGGCCTTCTTAGTCTGGCCTGAGAGGGGGCGGTGGCCTTCTTGCAAATAATGACTCACAACACTTGTCTTGGCTGTAAAGACGCCATAATGTACCCGACAGGCAAGTTTCAGCCCCGCTCCTGCCAGGTAAGTCCATCACGGGCTCACCATAGCCTGTGCTACTTGGAACTTTTAGTTCCCAGTAGCTGAATCTTAAACAACAACAACAACCCAGCAGGCGGTGGTTGAGTCAAATTAGCGTGTAACAAAGATGAAGTTGAATTAGATCTCGGTATCCCCCATCCCTGCTGGCAAGACTATATTGGTCCAAACACTCAGATCTGAGAGAAAAGAAATTACTGACTCCCAACGACCTGAACCAGTATAAAAAGCTATGATTTGTTCAGATCTGAAACCTATACCTATGGGCAGCACAAAACGTCGACCAGACTGTGCGACACAGTGGTTGCCAGGATCAGGTTGGGTTACCGTTACCTGTGGCAGGTGGCTGCAGGTGACGGATCTCCCAATCCTGAGCACTCCAGGTGCAAACTCTGTGAGCAGGAACTGCGGCACGATCTCCCACATGGAACTAGCGAGTCTAAATGGATTCAAAGAACAGCCACTCATATTAAAATGATGGGACTGCACGATGTATATCCAGATGAAAGAGTACAGCACTTCCTTCCACCCTGGCAGATTGTAGCTTTTGACATCCTGACCCCTGCATACCCCACCAAGAAACTAATCACAAACAACCCTCATGCTCAGCTTGCTGCTTAATTAAGCACCATAGAACACATTGACAATATACAAGCTGAAAACAACATTGCACAGACCATATACACTGACGGATCACTCAATACAGCTACAGGGAGGGCAGGAAGTGCTGTTATTGCTCATCAGCCCGATGGCAGCACAATTCAAAGAAATATCCGAATTAGTAACTGGGCATCCACAATGCAAGCCAAGTTGGTAGCGATACTGGTAGCACTCGAAATTATTGACAACACTGAAGTAGACAGCTTAATTATTTCCGACTCCCTATCCTCACTACGAGCAATAAACAGTTTGCAATCAAGTAATAACGTGCTTGTCTTGGAAGCTAGACGTAGATAAATAAGAATACTTAGCAAGAGGGGTAAATATAAAAATGTGGATTCCTTCTCACATTGGCCTGCAGGAACATGACAAAGTTGACGCCCTTGCTAAGGCTGCAGTAAATAAAGACAGTATTGAACGGAATCTTGAGTTGTCAAATAGGTCCCTTAAAAGTGTCATTAGACGAGAACTCCTGGATGGATTTGAAGAAAGTAGAACAGTGCAAACTGGAATCAGCAGGTCCATTGTTTATCACAATGAAATGTGTGTGAAGTAAAACATGTGTATGGGGCAAGTAACAAAGTCAGTAGACTAACAGATGTTGTCACAGCTCGTATAAGACTTGGCTACAAGTATCTCTGGCAGTTCGGCTTATATAGGGATCTAGATGAAGTAAAGTGTAAAGTGTTTGGACAAAGACAGGGACACACATTCGAACACTTTATCTTGGATTGTAGTAAAATTGAGCCATTTAGAGATAAATCTAAGCTCACTCTGTATGATATGGCAACCTATCTTATTACCATGGATAAATTACCTGAAATCCTTGTACTGTATCCATATTTCGCTCCCAGTAGATGAACGACATATGAGATTAAGAAACAAGTAGTGTATTGTGAGGACTAATAATAAACAGAAGCTCCCCTATGACTCTGTAATATCCCCATTGGTCAAACAATTATGTATTAGCGATAAGACCTACCATTAATGTATGATGACTTACTGTAAATATATAGCTCTTGAAATAGCACTTTCTCTGTAACTAGCTGACATTGTAACTATAAGGTGTGAAGGACAGATGAAATTGTTTATGTAATAATCTAGATGAGGTCTGATAAAAGACTTTTCGTGCCCTCTGTAATGCTTTTTGCGCTACCGCTCACAGGATGGGTATGAGGTGCACAATAAACTAGCCGCTTCCGGCGGCAACAATCAACAAACAATCTCCCACACTACATCACCGAATGCCCTGTCATTAGGCCATTCAGACCCGTTGACATGAGATGCCCCCGCGGCCCGGTCTCTGACCATGATCAACGTCCCCGCGGCCCAGTCTCTGACCAGGATCAACGTCCCCGCGGCCCAGTCTCTGACCAGGATCAACGTCCCCGCGGCCCGGTCTCGGACCAGGCCTCCTTGGTCAAGCCCTTGAGAATGTTTACACAGAGGCGAGGTAATGGCGGGTAAAATGGTCCTTCCTCCACTCCTCTTTATCAGCCCAGCATTGCTGGGGGTGTGTGGAGGGGGGGAGTAAGGGGGTGAGAGCTGTGGGTTGAGGGGTGGCGTCTGGCGGGGGGGGGGGACTAACAGGAGGATGCTGGGGTTCTGCCACTATATCATTACATCAATGTACCGCCATGGCTGCATCACTGTAGCATTGGTGTCATTTACTCATTTGGTTTAATCAATGCGATCCTGGACACTGGTTACATCTGAGTAAAAATCAGCAGCTGGGACTCACAGATTTGAGGTACAAAATCCCTTTAGCTCCAACGGAAAAAAAGGTTATTGCGCTGTACACATGTGTAGTGGGGTCTCACCTAGAGTGCTGTGTCCAGGCATGGAGACCGTCTCCCCACCTCAAAAAGGACATCTCTGTGCTGGGAAAAGTTCAACACGGCGACAAAGACCACACCAAGACTGGTTCATAAACTCACAACACAAAGCCAGACATGACAACACCGATCTCATACAGTCGTAGCAGACGACAAACAGTCGTAGCTACGTTGACCAGACCACACACTGGAATATGAAGGGACGACGACGTTTCGGTCCGTCCTGGACCATTTTAAAGTCGATTGTCATCGACGTTTACGATTGTTTCGGTCCAGGACGGACCGAAACGTCGTCGTCCCTTCATTTTCTAGTGTGTAGATTGGTCAACATACTTCAACCACGTTATTGCGACTCATCGCCTGCAGTCGTAGCTACGTTTGTTACGTAGAACCAACTGGAAGATATTAATCCATACCACTTTTAAAAAAGGTCCAATATAAGGCAACACAACGACGGCAACAGTTTCAAGCTCAACAAGCCACAGTGTAGGACAAAAATTTTTTTTTCTTAATCCATAGGTTTATAAATTCATAGAGTATCGCTTACCCGCCGAAGCCGTAACTAACATGATAATACTCCAGATCAAAATTTAGCTAAAAAAAATCCTCATGATTAACGGTTAGATCTTTGACAAGCAGCCGGCTGTCTGTCACCGAGACCACTAGAGACAGTGTCTGTCAGGTATCACCACCATTACAAATAATTGTTCATCCTGCGTTTAATTTCTCTGTTCTTGTGCTTCGTTATTATCTTTTCGTCTTCATTTCTTCCTTTACCTTTGTCTTATTCTTATTTCCGGTCTACGTTTCATATTTATCCTCTCATGTGATGTTCTTAGTTTATCTTACTTATGCTATTCCTTTCTTCCTTAATTTACTTTGAATTTAGCTTTGCTCAGTTATAAAATGACGTCCGCCGTTGTTTCCAAAATAAAACTGAATTTCTTGTCTGCGGTTATTGAAGGAACAATAATTGAATCGTCTGTTTATAAATGTCAGTCATGACACAGTAATGTCCCGGTAAAACAGCTTCACAAACATGACACAATAATGTCCCGCCTGGGACATTATATTGTCCCATTATATGGGATTTTACATTTTAATATCCCACCTGGGCAGTGAGACACTCGCCTGACGTTTCGCGAGCACTTTGTCCTGGGTTCGTATCCTGGCCGGGGAGAATTGACTGGACGCTAATCCTTAACTGTAGCCTCTGTTTACCCAACAGTAAAATGGGTACCTGGTTGTTAAACTATTTGGCGGGTCGTATTCCGGGGAATAAGGACCTGCCCGAAACGCTATGTGTGCAAGTACAAGAATGTAAGAACTCTTGTATATATATATATATATATATATATATATATATATATATATATATATATATATATATATATATATATATATATATATATATATATATATATATATATATATATATATATTGTATATATATATATATATATACACACACATGACACAAGAATGTCTCAGTAAAGCAGCTTCACATACAGCAGCGACTGACTTTGGACCCGGAAATCGGTTGAGGTTAGGATGACGATCACATCCGTGCTGGAAGCGTCCAGAAGCTTCGAGTTATCTTTGGTACCAAAGGCCGGCAATTTGACCTACCTCTGAGGGCACATAGCTTCAGGTGCAGGAGCAGGGAGGCACTTGTCTCCGCCAAGGGGGGGGGTCAATGGAGTGCCAACAGGTGCCAATTAAGGGGACGGAGAGAGAGCCGTGTAGGGAAAAGCGTTATAGGTATTGGTTGTGGTGGTGGTTGGAGGGTGGTGATGCTGGTTGTTGTTGTAGTTGTGGTAACAGTGTACAGGGAGGGAAGATCAGCTCTCGCCCCTCACAAGTGCCACACCAAACTGAGGGGTCGCCGCGGGCACTGCGCCTACCAGTACCCGAGGGTGCCAAGTTTTTCCTATTCTCCCTCCCCTTCCTCCCTCCCCATCTACCCCCTCCCCCCGTTCGACTCCTCTGGGAGCTCCTCTCGACCTCTTTCGAGCTCTCTCCATTATTCTCTCGAAGGCCCCCACGTTACTTTTCGACTTCCCATGTTCTCTTTCGACTCCCCACGTTCCCTCTCGACCTACCACGCTCACACTCAATACCCCCAACGCTCCCACGACCCCCCTCTGTGTTCTCTCTCAACCCCCCCTACGATCCTCTCGACCCTAATTTCCTTTCGATCCTCCACGTTCCTTCTCCGCCTCACGCGTTTCCTTTCGGCACGTCACGTTCCCGCTCAACCCCCAAGTTTCCTCTCGCCCTCCGAGTTTCATCTCGACTGTCACACGTTCCTCCCGACCCCCACGTTCCCTCTCAACCCGAAAATCAGAATGAATTCGAACCCTTCAAAGCAGCAGAAACGCATGTCGATTACCAGGGAAAGGGAATCCAGGCCCACAGTCGGATTGAAATACAATGCTATATAGGGCACATGCACACAATGTAGGTAGCAGGAAATATAGTCGCGGAAAAAAATATATCTAACAAATCAATGGGAAAGAACTAGCATTACTTAGCTTAAGTGTGAAGCAGACCTGGGGCCCGCCAGAGGTCGTTGTTGCTGTTGTTGACTTAGGGGCGGCGACGGCAGCGGTGCCGTATGTGCCCGGGAGTTCTCCAGAAGGGTAAAACGCAAAGCCTTACGGCAATAATTACCTCGCCTGCCGGCAGAAACGAATGCGCCTTACGGCGAAAAAAACACACTGATAGCTATTGTGTATGTGGGACAGGGGAGGGGGAAGCCCCAGGAGTCTCTCAGGGAGGCCAACACCGGCCCCATCCCACACAGTCAAGTCAAAACTTGGCCCCTCCTTAACGCGTACCTAAATGAGCAAAGACGCAAAAACGTCTTTCGGTTACCTCCAGCAGAGCAGGAGCCAGCCTCCCACCACACCCTGACGGAGCACCAGGAGCTCACCAAAGTCCACACATTCCCGGCACTTCTGGGTCAAGGCGGCGCTGGACACCGTCTTCCCGCCCGAAGAACCAGCCAGAAGACGGACAAAAATCTAACTTCCCTGAGACCCCGGGCGTCGTAACAATCCGGACCGTTAAATATGAATGCCTGACGGCTGTATCAATACACAATGGGTAAAATCGCCTCACGTGCTCCGACGACGCCTCCAGGCAGAGCAGGTGTCCGGACGTCCGCTTGTAGTCCAGGTTGTACCAGGTGACAGGAGTCCCGCCAAAGGTTCCGTGCCCAAGCGGGTGACCTGCCGGTCAAAGGCTTTATCCTGCAACAATGAAAATGTTGGCATCGTTACGTTAGGGTGCCCAATTTAACCCAAGAAGTTACATGTATTGCAATAATTTTTTCTATAGTTTTTTTCAGCTTTTGATTTTTCTTTTATCCCAAAAGCTTCAAAGAAAGGGGCCGGTCCCCGCTACAACCTGTCCTCAGGTTAGGCTCCTACCACAAAGACGCTCCCACTAATTTTAACGTACTGCATATTCAAAATTTGTAATTTCTCAAATGTCAATATTTAAAATTATTACAAATTATTACATACTAGAATGTATTGAATAGTTACGCCTATTTCAGGTTAGGTTAGCTGCTTTATTAAGTTCTGTTGGCAGTTATTGGTCATTCTCAATCGACATGGTCCAGGACGGACCGGAACGTCGTCGTCCCTTCACTTTCTAGTCTCGCTTCAAGCAGATCGGCGTTCAATCCCTGACTGTCCAAGTGGTTGGGCACCATTCCTTTCCCCACCGTCCAATCCCAAATCCTTATCCTGACCCCTTCCCAATGCTATATAGTCGTAATGGCTTGGCACTTTCCCCTGATATAATATATATATTCTGCATCTTGTTTGACGAGCCAAGCCTGAGAACAGGTTGTGTGTAGTGCTTTTTTATTCATAAAGAAGGGGGGTTTGACGGTGGGTTAACGAGTATTTGGTTTTTGTTGATGAGGACGGGTTGGCTCCTGGTAGGTTAGGGTAGGTCTCAGAACTAAGCTCGGGGCAAGTCCCTTAGGCTAGGCTAGGCCAGTGCTTAGAAAAGTGCATTTCATTACAATCAAACGCTTGACTTGTACAAATAAAAACATTAAATTTTAATGTTCACTGCTAATATCTGTCCATTTTCTTGGCCACCCTTTTCCTCACATTTACTTCCTATTTTGAGGTTATCTAGAGATGATTTCGGGGCTTAGCGTCCCCGCGGCCTGGTCCTCGATCAGGCCTCCTTTTTGTTACACATCCCCCAGGAAGCAGCCCGTAGCAGCTGTCTAACTCCCAGGTACCTATTTACTGCTAGGTGAACAAAGGCATCAGGGGTGAAAGAAACTCTGCCCATTTATTTCCGCCTCCACCGGGGATCGAACTCGAAATCTCAGGACTACGAATCCGAAGCGCTGTACACTCAGCTGTCAGGCCCTCGACAGTAATACTTGACAGCATACTTGAATACACAATAATAATGAGACTTGCAGTGAAGCAAGTCTAGATGTTCTGCCGTCACCGTGTGTGTGGGATGTTACTGATCTACTTAAGCATATCCAGTGAGCCACATTGTACTACCTTTCTCGACAAAGCTCACATTTTTATTTCAACAAAAAATCTGCAAAAGGCCTAGCTATTGGCCCACTCACCCTAGGGAGCCGGTCGGCCGAGCGGACAGCACGCTGGACTTGTGATCCTGTGATCCCGGGCGCTGACGAGAAACAATGGGCAGAGTTTCTTTCACCCTAATGCCCCTGTTACCTAGCAGTAAAATAGGTACCTGGGTGTTAGTCAGCTGTCACGGGCTGCTTCCTGGGGGTGGAGGCCTGGTCAAGGACCGGGCCGCGGGGACACTAAAGCCCCAAAATCATCTCAAGATAACCTTAAAGCAGCTGCTATAACAACCTGTCCTCAGGGAGGAGATACCCTTGGAGGTAATGACTTCAAACTCACTATGTAGTGCTATTATCTACTCCCTATCCATGGTTAGGTTAGGTTATATTAAGGCAAGGTTAGGGTTTCATTATGTTTGGATATGTTAATACGGTGTATTATTCTAAGCAAAAGTATGAAATTCAAAACTATTTGAGTATCTCCTACAATTTAACTTACAGAAAACCAAATTCTTCAGCCTATTTCAATGAAAACAAGTTCAGCATATTATTTTTATATTTTAAACCAACAATTTATTAGTTACAATTTGAGAATATTCTCTGAAGACTGACAGTTTACATGTAGACTATTACTGGAACAGTAATATGCTTTCAAACCATCACAAATAATAATTAATAATAATAATTCACTGGGTCAGGGGACAGGAAGCCAGAGTATATTCATACAAGATTGGCTTTTATCGAGGGCGCCCCCCCTTCCCCAAGGCTGAATTACTGACCCCGCCCAGGATGCTACCTCACAACCTGACTAACTCCCAAGTACCTACTCACTGCTAGGTGAACAGAGGCATTAGGTTTTATTTATTTATTTATATACAAGAAGGTACATTGGGGATTAAGAGAACATAGAAATGAAGTTGATTTTACATTCTTGTAAAGCCACTAGCACTCATAGCATTTTGGGTAAGTCCTTAAACATGGGTTAATATCACCCAAATCCTATGTATTTATATTCCTCTTATTAAGTCCGTTTATCCATTTAAAAGGAAGGCTTCCATAGTTCGCAGAATTAACTAATCCTTCACTAAATTTTAAACAGAATTTAAAAACTATTCAATAAAAGTGCCCAAAACTGTTAAGAGTCATACAGAGGAATGATAAAGTTAAAGAATAACATTGGAACATTTCACAGCGAGTAATCACACTAACGTGATGCATCAATGAGGAAATCCGTAGGAAAGCAATGAGGAACATCCAGCACATAGGTTCGAACCCTCATCATGGCTCCTATGGATTTCCTCATTGAAACATTCATTACTAATGCTTATAGACATTCTAGTCATGCAAGCACGTTCTCAAATTATTTGATTCTGTGATTCAGGATATTAAATATGATAGCAATGTATACCAGTTTCTCAATGCTCTTGTTGTCCCTCGACGAAATGGCAGGGTTGTAATTTATTGTGCAACCTCAGTAATTATTGTAGCGTGTCAATTTATTGTGCAAAAATATTACGTAAGTAATTACCAAAAGAAGGCACCAAGCTGGAGAGACTTATGTAGCGTATTATGTAACATCTGGGGCCAGATTCATGAAGCAGTTATGCAAGCACTTACGAACCTGTACATCTTTTCTCAATCTTTGGCGTCTGTGTTTAAAATTATTAAACAGTTAATGAGCTCCAAAGCACGAGGAGGTTGTTTATAATAATTTATAACAGTTTATAACAGTTGATTGTGAAATTTTCATGCTTGTAAACTGTTTAACAAATGTAACCAAAGCCGTCAAAGATTGAGGAAAGATGTGCACGGTCGTAAGTATTTGCGTAACTGCTTCATGAATCTGGCTCCTGAACTGTTGAGCTTGTTAATTTATTAAGGAACATCATAATCTGTTGAAAATTGTTAATTCAGTGTGCAGAATTATGAGCTGTTGTAGTGGCTTTCTGGTCAAAATTATTGATAATAAAGTAATGTACTCCTTTAAACTTAATAACTAAATGCACTACACCACATTAGTGAACTTCTCAGGAAAACAGGTGATGCAAAGTAGGTCTACAAAAAACGTGGTTAAAAAATACCATACAAAAGTGAAAGTTTTAATCATTATATATTACCTATGCAGTACAGTATTGTACAGTATATTCAAAAACAGTTAATTAATAATGTAGCATATGTTACAATATTCTTAGAACTGTTATCAATTTATTCCCTTGTATGTCTCTTTTTAACTATTTTTTTGCATTGAATTATTATACCTTGGTAAGACTAGATTAAAGTAATGAGGATGTTACAATTAAAGATGAGCAAAGATGCAACTATTTCCATAGAATAATAATTATGCATAGAGATAAATAAATGAACATAATTGATACTAGAACAAGAAAAATTGGGAAACACAAAACAAGCACTCAGTCTTTAGGTGGAGGTTGGGGGGGGCACGAAGGGCACTGAATATTGCAACCCGTTCTCGCAAATTTAATAAGTCAATATTGACTTATTAAGTATGTGCATAGGTGACATACTTAACATAATAGATACCCTTAAAAAGATTCATAGAAAACACTGACCTTACCTAACCTTGTTAGTATCTTAAGATAAGCATCTTATTGCTTCGTAATTACAATTATTACCTAACCTATAATAGGTATAGGTAATAACCTATACCTATAATAGGTATAGGTTAAGTAATAATTGTAATTACGAAGCAATAAGATGCTTATCTTAAGATACTAACAAGGTTAGGTAAGGTCGGTGTTTTCTATGAATCTTTTTAAGGGTATCTATTATGTTTAGTATATCACCTATGCACGTAATTAATAAGTCAATATTGACTTATTAAATTTGCGAGAACGGGTTGGAATCTTCATAGTAGGGAAGAAGGGAAGGAAACTATCCTTAGAAAGTGCCAAGCCATTACAACAATATACTGTATAGGTAAATCAGCTAAAATCAGTAATATAGAACTGGGATGGGATCAGGATAAGGATTTGGGATGTGATGGGGGGAAGGGAGGGGAAGGAATGTTGCCCAACCACTTGGATGGACGCGGATTGAACGCCGACCTGCCTAAAGCGAGACCATCACTCTACCATTGAGCCCAAGTGGTTGGGGATATTGCCCCAAGGAGCTGTTACAAAATTAACTAGTGTAGCTTACAGTCTTCCTAGCTTGGCACTTTCTTTTGATAATTATTTGCTACTTTGTGTAGCTGAAAAAGCAAAAAATCATATCCTATTTATAAATAATAATATCTGTTGCAATTATAACAGTACAGGTTCTTTGTTTACTTTCATGTATATATTTCTGTATACAGTACAAATCTTTTCAAACATTTATAGAAATGTTTACAAATTTGCTACATTGATTGGGAATTATTAATTACTTTATCATTACCTCCATTTCAAACTTTCATGGGATGGGGAGGCCTGAGCATGGGTAAAAAGATGAACAATATATAGCAATACAAGGTTACCGATATTAAACAAATTTTAAAATATCACTCGCCCATTCTTTATACAGTTTACAAAATATAGCATCACAGATAAATAAGCACCATACCATGTTACAGCCATCATCTATAACAGCATCGCACTACACTTGTGGGTACCTGGTGGCCGAGTGGACTGCACTCAGGACTCGTAATCCTGGTGACCAGGGTTCGATCCCTGTCGATGGTGGAGAAACAAATGGACAGAGTTTCTTTCACCCTGAAGCCCCTGTTACCTAGCAGTAAATAGGTACCTAGGAGTTAAGACAGCTGTTATGGGCTGCTTCCTGAGGGAGGAGGGGGGGGATTGTAATTACCTAAGTGTAGTTACAGGATGAGAGCTACACTCGTGGTGTCTGTGTGTAATTACCTAAGTGTAATTACCTAAGTGTAGTTACAGGATGAGAGCTACGCTCGTGGTGTCCCGTCTTCCCAGCACTCTTTGTCATATACATGTGTCATGTCATATACATTGTCATGTCATGTGTGTGTGTGTGTGTGTGTGTGTGTGTGTGTGTGTGTGTGTAATTACCTAAGTGTAGTTACAGGATGAGAGCTACACTCGTGGTATCCGTGTGTGTGTGAAAAAATGATCGTTGATTGATTGACAGTTGAGAGGCGGGTCGAAAGAACAGAGCTCAACCCCTACAGCACAACTAGGTGAATACAGTACTGTACTTCACAAGCCCAGTTGTACAGTGCTCTTCATGAATTACCATATACAGTACCTGTTACTGTATGTGGTAATATCATTTCCTCCTTACAAACTACTTCCACCCAGCTTTATCCCTTACCATATCCCATGTGTTCAGACTCCCAGCTTCCACACACACACTGACAATGTCTGCCCACCTTTATGGTCTTCCTCTCCTTCGTCCTACTATAAAATTTACTCTTCACCAGTGAAGAGTATCCACCATCACAGTGAAATGATGATCTGCATGAGCTCGAAGAACATGCATTCAGATGTGCACGACTGATTTTCTAATATCAAAATTCAAACTGTACAAGGGTAAGTTTGCCCATATGCAAAATGAGGAGCTTGATGCTGAGTGAGCACAGGACACCCAAATACTATGTCTTAAGACCCATGACTATCTTGTTATGCATTTCTTTTATTACTGCACATTCTTGCATTAAGGAACTTCCTCTGTTTTACTCTTCATCATTTAATGTATTTGTGACTGAAAAGTGGTAGGAGTATTAAATTATATGTTCAGGTAAGTGTTTTACTGAAAAAAATTGAAAAATTAATTTTTGAGGTCTCTGGAAGATAACTAGTTTCTAATATAAAACAAAGTTTGCTTAACACAAGGCTTTCAAGAAACACAGCCCACAATTTCTAAGTACAGTAGATATTACCTACAGCACCAAGATAAGAAATTCCAATACAAAACATAAAATCAAGAATTTTCCAAGTCTTCAGCATTGACTATAAGAACAAGTGCTGATTGTCGATCATCTTCATCATCCACAGGTAAGAGATCAACTCTGGCCACTGATCTTTCCATTCTCTCATAGGAATGAGAATTATCTTCATCTTCCTCCTCCTCCCCATCTTCTCCATTTTGGGTAGTGATAACAAATGTCTCCCCTTCTTGGCCATCACTGCCTTGGCTCATTAGTGAATAAACATTACTTGTAATTTTGTTTATTGTGACCTCGGATGCATCTGCTCCTCGGACAACTTGCCCCATTTGTCTGAGGAGGAGGTTGGTATCTATGACATTGTCTGTTAGCTGAATGACTTGTCCATCATCATCCACTATGTAGCCCTCGGGCAAAACAAAATTTGAAGCATTAGGCACAGTATCATCCACTGGTTCATTGGATGCAATAACCTGTATTGATTCTGGAAGTTGCTTACAGAATTTTTTCTTTGGTAACACATCAACATTTATTGCGGCTCTTACAGCTCCTTTCACATTAGCAGGATCCAGCTCACCAACAACCTCACCTAAATTACTGACTTGTATTACGTTATCTGAAACTTGTATACTAGTATTTGCACGACTCTTTTCTTGTTCAGCTGCATTGCCCATCTCTAGTGAAGATGCTAAATTTGATATATTATTGTCTGTTACTATACTGGGTAAATTAATATTACTCTTTGGAACCTTGATGGTCACAACATCATCCTCTGCACTGTTACTTTTAACGATTCTATCTTCATGCAGAGTATGTTGTGTCCACTCACCTTCCTCTTCCCCCTCTTCACTCTCTCCTATCAGTGACATGTCCCAGGGAATCATCATCACACATCCACTATCATCTGTGTAATGATAATGTAAATACTGGTTATCACCAAGACCACTTAGTCCAGCCTCCACTGTTATGTTCTCGTCCATTGGATGGACAATGGGAGTACCGTCATATGTATCCCCTGCAAGAGCATAGAGTGTTATCTTCCCATCTGGTTCATTGTAGTACGAAGAAGGCTTGACGCTGCTGGACCCTTTCCTCAATATCCGTCTTTTTCGTCTAGCCTGCTGCTCTTGTAGTGCCGCCACCTGAAAGATTTAAGAAATCAATGCTACAATAAGAATGCTCTTGAACAAAAATTTATAATAATTATATTTATAAAAATGCTACACAGCTTATGAATTTATTATTTATTTTGTATGTACATTTATTTATATTTTATATGCATGTAATGAATGCCATTAATCACTTGTAAAATTTGGGTAGATTTTAAATTAATCTTGGGATACGGATAATGTTTACTAAGAGATTAAGATAATAAATATAAATACTTGAGAGAAGAGAATGGAATGGTGTGGACTTTGTCGATGATTATAAATTGGCAAGACAATGAGTTAAACTGTAGAATATAAATGGGAGAAGAAATAGTAGATTTTAAAAACATATGGAGAAGTGTTACTTTAAATTCATATAACAAATTTATTTTTTAAGAGTTTATATATTAGCAGCATATGTTTAATATTAATGAGTGTAGAGGAGTGTAAAATGGGCACATTTCCTTTCACCTGATGCCTCTGTTCACTTAAGATACAAATAGGTATCCAGGAGATATGCAGCTGTTGTGGGTTGCATCCTAGGGGAGGTCAGTAATTAGACCTGGGAGACCCCCCAATAAGTCTAAGTACAGGCTTCCTGTCACTCACAGTGGGAAGGGAAGGGAACTATCGGGAGAAGGTGCCAAGCCATTACGACTATATAGCACTTGGAAGGGGTCAGGATAAAGATTTGGGATAGGACGGGGGGAAAGGAATGGTGCCCAACCACTAGGACGGTCGGGGATTGAACACTGACATGCATGAAGCGAGACTGTCGCTCTACTGTCCATAGAGTATGTGGCATATTATGGCTGTCTTACCTTCGAATCCCTCTCCTTCTGCACTTGCTCCTTGAGTTGGTCCACAGTCAGCGTCTGACACGTCCATTCTGCTAAAGTAGGTAACAGCTTTTGTGCTAGCTCTCTTCCCTCTTTGCTCATCTTCTCCAAGTCTTGATCATCCACTTCAGGCCCTTGCTGTTCTTTCCCACACTCTCGTAAGAAACTGCAACACATGAGACAAACATTCATACAGCTGTATATCAATAACTGTCTTTCTTTATATGCCAGTATTTTAAGACAGGTGAAACTGCATGCAAACTACTGTACATGTTTTGAGTATAGCTTATTGCAATAGCAATAATAATAAGTAATAATATCTGTTGAGTATTTATACAGAAAAATATACACTGGTTGTAAAACATTACAGTATATGATACATGGGACAGCATTGTTATATTTACTAGGCCACTTATCATGCAGGCTGCTGTACTGAGAACAGGCCAGTATAATGAGCACAGGCCAGTATAATGAGTACAGGCCAGTATATTGAGCACAGGCTAGTGTAATAAGACAAACCTCCAGACATTCCTCTTATTGCTTTCATATCTCACACTTCCTTTAACATGCTGCTTCTTTACAAAAATACAAATTATACCATAGTCATATAGACTTCCCCTTGTATCAATCACACTGTAACATAAACTGTAATGATACAATAAGTCATTCACTGCTTCATATCACTCCTCGTTGATTAACAGATATACTCCTTCCACATCAAACTTTCATTTCTATAAAACTTTTGCGAATTCCAGTTTTGATGTTCCTTAGTTTTTCACTTGAGAGTGACGTTGTTTGAGCAGATGCAGACCCCGGAACCCAAAGTAAATTTTGCTTTTATTGGGGAAGAATTTGGGAAGATAGGGTCCACGTTGAATCTCCCCCTGCCAATCCCTATATTGTAATCCCTATATTATTCAAATTTGAAATATTTTTAACTGTTCTTATAATGTATAAAAATTAATAATTAACCATGTTGTAAAGCTTTTTAAGAGTATTCTTTGCAACTTTGCAACTGCCGTTATTGGGAATATTTCCTGGTAACAATTTAAATTTTCTTTTCTATCAATAATTTTGACTAATTTTCAACACCATACTTAATACAAATTATGAAGAAAAAAAAAGTAATGTAACCAAAAAAGCTTTTCCTTTCCTATTCTATCAATGACATACAAAATCTCTCATGATCATTACTGAAAACTGATATTAACAACATCTTAAATATACGTACTGCATTTTAAACTCAACTTACTCTTTATAAGTGAAATTAAGTCTGTCGTGAACTTGTCTGATGTGTTTGATTAGATTACCCTGAGTGTTACAAGTGAAAGCACAAAAGCAACACTTATACGGTTTCTCTCCTGTGTGAATCCTGACATGACGACGTAGGTGATGAATTGTTGGAAAGCACTAAAAGAGAAAGCAATTATATTAAGCAAATAATAACAATAATACAAATGAAATTACTTATCAGTGATGCCAAATGTATGTTTCACACATCCCTCCAGAATCCCATTATCACAAATTCAACAGTAGATTTTTTATTTACTGCAATATCAAGATCTCAACCTATGTATTAAATCAAACGAATAACAAAAATAAGAGATTGAACCTTGATGCAGTGAGGGCAGTTGTGTCTTCTGGGCCCATGGACTTGCAGTATATGTGCTGCTAAGCGATTCTTCATGATGAATTTCTTACCACACTCTTCACAAGCAAAAGGCTTGGCACCTGAAATTAATAAATTATTTAATTGCTGTGAAAGTTAACAACTACTGTATGCTAAAGCTATGATTTTCAGCAGCGAGCCACAAAAAATATTAATTTAATATTTTTTCTTTTAGAAGTGATAGAAAGTTACAGATATCAAGTGTCGAATGTAATAAAATATCTTCCCTGTTGAGCCCTTAGCAGCCCCCCAAATTAAGTGCTAGTCCAGCCAAGCCTTACGGAGGGAAAATGAGGCTTTAGACCCCACCCAAGCTCACCAGGAGCCATAGCACTGTGGAGAAATGCCCGACAGACCGCTGGAACGTTATCTAACACAGTGCACAGTTACAAACCCCATTAAGATTTCAACTTAGATTTAACAGCAGAAGTTGTTAAACACATATGGCAAAATCTTACTGAAGCGACCATATGAGTCATAAATACAGTACTCATACTCTGCTCAAGTAAAACAGAAACAAGCAACACTTAGTGTGTCAGCTAGAGGCTTAGGGCCCATGCAGGAATATCCCTGAAAAAAAATAAAAAAAACAGGAGCCATGACCAGAATCTGGCTCTCTGCAAGACAAGAGAAGCTTGGGGATTAAGAGATGAACCCAAAACTAAGAAAAAACCACTAGATAGGATAAGTGTAACAGTACAAGCAACTGTTGCATCAATTGACTTAATGAAGTCAATGATTGTTCACTGTGGGCTAAAGAAAAGATGCATATGCAAGCCCAAAAATTCCACCACTCAATTCTTATGTAGGTGGTAGCACACAAGGCCTAGAAACTCCATACATGAAAATTAACAGAAAGCCCTGAACCATCCAGGTAGATCATGCTACCAATTCTCTGGAAAAGGCTGAACCTTGGGAAGGTGATGGGGAAATGATTGGGGCAACGAGCTGGAAGAGCTGGGAATGAGAGCTGAAGGCACCACATAGACTAGAAACAGCAGATTCCACAGGAAAATAGGTTCACTTGCAGATGGCTGAACATCTCACAAAGACAAAGAAAGGAGGCCAACTTCATTGAAATCAGATGGAACCGAGAAAGAGTCTGCAAGAATGTTCAGCATACCCCAAATGTATATTGTACTGAGAATTAAACCCAAAGAAATCAAAGGTACCCTAAGAGTCCAACACCACAGGGAAGGGGAACAAACTGAACCCCCCTCTTTCCCTGTTGAGTTAAAATAGACCACAGCAGCACAATTTGAGTGGAGAGAGAGACAGCAGAGCCCCACAAGAGACAGCCACTAAAGCACCATGCAAACTGCCCAAAACTCCCACAGCGTAATATGCGCCTGCAACAGGCAATGAGACTGCTGCCTATTTAATTCTGACTGCTGCCTGAGACTGCTGCCTATTCACTGACCAGGTATGACTTGAGCTGAATATAAAGTCACAGCCAACTTCTGATGAATCTGTGCACAGCTCGAGGAACAGAAGAAGAGGAGGAGGAGGAGGGGACTAGAAATAGAACTTGAAAAACAAAAAGATAAAAATTATCTTTCCCTCAGTTGGAGCAGGGCATGCAGAGCATGGTTCCAACTGTGGTGAAATAATGCCCACTGGAGAATACAATAAAGTTCCTTCAGTCACATATAGCACAGAGGGTAATCTAACATCTCTGTGGCTCATCTGGGTACTAAGTTTCCACCTGTGTTCCCTTGTTCGTGTTCCACCCGTGCTGAAGAGTTTTTCTTTGTCCACCCTATGCAGGCAGTGGCACAGGCTGGCCAAAATCTTCTTCAGGTCATGATAGAAAAGCAGAGATCTCCACTTCACCAGCCAGAGATGGTGACACAGCTGTAACAGTGCCAACCATGGGACTAAAATGAATGCCATCTTGTTATTCCAGACTAGTTTTAGCCAAGGTAGGACCTGTAAAGGCACTAGTTGACCAGAAAGCCAAAATGGGCCAAAAGGGAAATAATCAGGTCCATGGCAGCAGACAAGCCAAATGACTGGAGGCCCAAACAAGCTTGTTATCAAGGTAGATCAGAACACAGATCCCCACAACACAAATTTTTTGAAGGACTGTGTGAGTGAATCTGGAGAAGATTTTTGGAACTAGGTTCAGGCCAAACAGCAGAGGTCAAAAGTGGCACGAGAGGTACCCCATGTTGAACCCTAGCTAATTCCTGAAAACCAGGTGGATATGAACATACCAACAGGCATCTCAATGATCCAGGTAGATGAGCCAAGACTAGCTTGAAAGCACATCATAATGGTGAATTTGCAACAGGGTGGTCATCTGGCATATGGGACAAGGAACAAACCCTTTAAGAACAAACATGTCCAGCGATGATCACACAAACATATTGTGTAATCCTCGCTTTCACACAATGCAGCAATAATTCAAAGAATATCACCATGGGACAGGAAAGAAGTAAGTAATTATCAAAAGTAGGCACCAAGCCAGGGAGACTTATATAGCAAACAGGAAAGGAGGACACCTTCAACAAGGATGGGGTCACAACGAGCATACCCTTTCCCAACAAAATGCTAATGAGATTGAAGAGTAGAGGCATAGATGGTTGAGGCGATCCTTGAAACATCAAAACGGACAAAGATCAGACACCCTGTTCTGGCCTCAAGACTACTCTCAATTATCTTGTGCTTTATGCAATTTTTGTTTCAAATTCTTGTAGAATGGCATCTCCCATGCATTCAGCACTTCATAAGGTACTATATTTGTGGCTAGAAAGTGATGTAAATACATAGCAATAATGTTCAGGTACTGTAGTGTTTTATTTCAAGGTGAGTAGAACAAAATTGGACTTTAGGGGGGTGTCTAGTATGTAAGCTTACTTGTCCCGTATTTCGGTCGTGCAGATCAATGGCCACCTGTACCTATACTTTCATATTTGCAAACCCTGAATTACAAGTTAGAAGTTAGACTAATGAAATGTAAAATGAAATGAAATAAATCGAGTGCTACTTCAAAACCAACTCGGAAACAGCTTACCAGCATGAGAATACAAATGTGCTCTTAAATTTCTCTTTGAGCGAAATGTCACTCCACATACAGGGCAGGCAATGATTGGCCGCGCTCCCTCATGAGTCAGCATGTGGTTGCGTATTGTAGTACGACGATGAGTTACAAAGTTACACTGCAAAGACATTATTAATCTTTATAATCAACATAACCTTCTATTGGAATAGGACTACACCTCCTTTACCAAAATGTTACAGAGCTATTTTGAAGGTCATGAACAAGTTTTCACTGTTGTTGATTTATGTAGAATGCTTCAAATAAAAGCCTCCCAAATATCTGCGTACAGTTTTAACATTTAAATTTGGTATCTGGCTAAAGAGAACTACAAAATATAATATATACAGTTCATCAAGCAAATAGACACAACAAAGTAATTGTAAAATATAACGACATTACAGTATCTCATTCATACTAATCAATTTTACTTATAATTTACAATACTCACAAGGGCACATTTCAGCCTGCGGGATTTGGCATGAACATATTCTATATGTTCTCTTAGGCTTGTATCTCTTGAAAATGTGTTGCCACAAATTTCACATATATATAACTGAGTGTCTGTGTGTTTGTATGAATGACGAAACAACTCAATTTTTGATGCTGCACTAAAGTCACACTTCGCACATTTGAATGGCAAATCTGCTTTGTCTCTGTGTCGAACCTGGTGTGTTTCTGAAAATACACAAATTATTTTCAGCTATGAATAACCTGATAAACTTATGTACAGGTATATTCCATTATTTACACTATATAGTGCACTATGTCCTTTCTTATAAATTGCAAAAAAATGCAAAATCCTTCACACACACATGCACGTCACACAGTGACCATTCTCACACCTTTATGTTCAATTTGTACTTTCACACATGTAAAATACCCACCATGTGCCTCCACTAATATATCCTATATTGATTACTGAGCATCAAATTTTTTAGAAAGCATTTTTCTAGAAAGCAGAAAAAATCAAATATAGAATAATGAACTATTAAGTATTTCACAAGTACATATATAATACAGAAAATATAATGCAGTACAAGAGAGAATTCAGAATATACAGTACAGTACTTACTTAATATGGACATTGTGGAATACATTTTTCCACATTCCTCACATTTATATTGAGATTTTACAGTTTTCTGAAAAAGAATTAAAGGAAACAAATCAACATTTAATAGTATACAGTACTTTCGTATTAACACTTTGGCAGTAAAACTTTTCCTTTGGCGCCATATTTTTCTTGATATTGTATATAGGACTTAAAAGAAAAAATTTACAATTTCACACTGTATGTGTATAGTAAGAAATTAAATGGTCTTTCTACTCGCTTCATTAGATCATTTTTCCACAAAGAATGTTAAGTGATACATTGTTGTTGTTTTTAGATTCAGCTACTCAGAAGCAAAATTTCTATGTAGCACAGGCTATAGTAAGCCCGTAAAAGTGATACAATTCTAGGAATCCTGAGGTTAGCAAGTTAGCAGTTGGTGAGAGTCCTCTGTTGGTGGTTGTGTGCATGAAGCAGAGACCGGGATTGGAAGATTCCAAGTTTGTAGCAATGTACTTATTGTTAAATCTAGGATGGTTTGAGTATTTCTTCAGTGACTCCCTAGTGTCTATAATGATCATGTAGACATTTTTGAAAATTTCCTGTGACACTCGTATCAGAATGTGATACACTGCATCAATGTTCAGGATCCCTGATTATACGACACAGCAAATCATATCTTAGAGAGTACGTTAATATGATAACTCATAAATGTTGCTTCCACTATAATTTAGTTGCTAGTGATAATGGTTTAGCATGGCCTTATTTGCAACTTATCCTCAAAACAATGAGCCTAAATAAATACCATGCTGAATTGTTCCTCTAATTTATAAATTAAATGTACTTCACCCATGACTCAAAACTGATGTCATTCAAGCTTTTTCTGAAAAGAACTTTATTAATTTGTAATGTTCAAAGCAAACCTCTCAAAATTACTCACCCCTCTGAAATCTAATTATAAAGCAAAAAGACATAAAACTTTTGGGTGGAAAGCTGTCTTCTGACAGCACAGAATTCCTAGACTAATGAAGCAGTTAGGTCCTATACAGTATCAAGCAGGTACTGTGGATAGTTTGCTGGTTCTGTAAAATAACCCCCAACCCCATGAAACAGAGACGTATGGTAATGATAATGTTTCATCCAAATATAATTTGTACTCTTATAGTATAGCCATAATTTCCATGCTTTCTGTAAAGATAATGAACTTTAAAAGTCAATGACTAAAGATGAAGCTCAATTTACACACCTTTTTAGGGACATTATCAACAGCCTCCACTGTATCACACACATACACATTTTGCACTTCACTTTTGACATCTTCTGGCTCCTCCTTGCATTTCACCAGGCCATCTACAGAATTGGGTTCACTCTCTTTCTCTCTAACTTGCTGCTCGGTCATCTGTCTTTCTCTTCTCTCGGAATCCACAGCTTTAATCCCACTCTCTTTTAGGCAGCTCTCCAACAGATCAAACCCATTGCCTGAATAAATAAATGTAAAATATCTACTTTTAGCATTATATGAATAAAATGTTATTGGCCTGTAGTTTTTACTTACAAATATTGCTGTCAATAATACAGTACCTCCATATAAGTGGGTGATCTTCAGAAATAAAGATACTTATTTGCCAACCTTGATCTGTTTCTGATATTCCAGGGTTCTCTCCGTTTCCAGTTTCATCAGTTTTTGATTGAGTTGTACACTTCTCGCTAATCTGAGAGTCACAGAGCAGCACTGGTGGTGAGCATTGGTCAGTATTAGTGACTGGTGCTTCTCTAACAACAGGTGGATACTTCCTTGGCCGGCCTCGACCACGTTTAACATGGAAAATAGACTGTGGTTTGTTCTCTGCTGAAATAAAGTAATGGGAACTATCAATTGCACTGACCACATCCTAGAATAAAAAACCACTTTTCATTATATTCACCTCTTTATATCCAAAACGATATCAGAATTAACCAGTTCTATCCTCCCACTAACATGGCTACAAACACCATTAACTACCTAAGTACAAATCATCACCTGTCATCAGGAAGCTATCTGAAAGAAAGCATGAATGCTACATCCTTATTCCATTGAGCTTCATACTGTATTTTAGTTCTATAGACTATTTAAGAAAATGTTGAAATATTTAAGAATGTTGAGTTATTTCATGTTCTACTATGAACATTACATTTTCTATGAACATTTAATTTCCCAAGGCATGAAAACATGATCTTATTATTACTGTATGTATTCATTTACACTACTACAGTACTCCCATTTACATAATTTTATTTATATCTATACAGTATACATACAGTATTGTACATACACAGTTTTGAAGAGTATACTGTATACAGTTCATAGGAAAAGGGAGTACCACCTCTACTTCAAATATTGAAGGCCCTTATATATCATAGTCTCTTAAGAAGAAAATACGTCTTAATAATATTTGACATGTTAGCTCTAATATCTCACCTTGCACCTCCTCCTCCTCCTCTTCTTTAATCTCATCTCCATGGCCAAACTCCGCTAACTGCCTGTAGTCTACTTTCTTTGTGTGACGCCTTCCTGAAGAAGCAAAAGTTACTAGCATAATTCCGGAATGTTCTTCCTAAAACATTACAAATTTAATGTAATGGAAGATTAACAACAAAGAACAGTATTATTACAGCACAGGAATTTGTAACACAAGAGAAAGTCTATTGCACACATTTGACTATCATTTGTTAAAAACTACAGGAATGCAAAATACATGAAACAACAGAGATGAATACTTAAGTTACACTTTAATAATAATTTTCTTTTTAAATGATACATTTGCATATCTTCAGAACCGAGGACGTAAAATTAAAATTGTACTGTATCTATCTATACCTCATCTCCCACCCTGCCCCTGGAACACTTCAATCCAAGGTGGTGGCAATGACAGAAAAGCCTTTAAACAGGCCTATTTAACCATTTTTAATATGATCACTTAAGTTCTACTCTGCCTTTCTCTCAGACTCAGTCTTTTCTCTCACTTGGGCTGGACTGTAGAGCAACAGTCTCACTTCATGCAGGTTGGCATTCAATCCCTGACCGTCCAAGTGGTTGGGCACCATTCCTTTTCCTTCCATCTCACCCCAAATCCTTAACCTGATCCCTTCCAAGTGTTATATAATCATAATGGTTTGGCACTTTCTCCTGATAGTACCCTTCCCTTCCCTTCTCAGTCTGTAAGATTTCAGCTGATGACAGTCCTGATTCCCATATCAGTTTCAACCCAAATCATTTAATTCTGCTCTAACAAAATCCACATTTTTTCAACTGCCTCTTAAAATTATTAGATGATACCTTTGGTTTGTTCTAAACCCTTTACATCATGAGGAACACTGTATATCCCTAAGCACAGTAATCCCCCCACTTTCCCGTTCCATAAAGTAGATTGTCTTTCATCACTCTATCCTGTATTTTACTATTGTAAATCTTCCTTACAAGCCTATTATCATTTATCACCTCCAGCTGTCTGAAACACCAGGTTATGTTCCTTGGCCAGCTTTCCAACCTTACACCGGACATCTCTGGCCCTCTTGACTATCCCAGAGTAAAAAGGCCTCTCCACTAATCTATAATTAATTTATATACAAGAAGACAAGAGAGTGCGGGTTGGGTTGTGAGAGTGCATAACATTGGTGTTCTTACATTCTTGCAAAGCCACTAACACTCACAGCATTTTAGGCAGAGTGATATACAGTGCTCCCTCGATTCGGTGAACCATTTGGGACCAACCCTAATTCGTTGGAGTGAGGGATTCGTTGCAACAGGTGATGCCTTTAGGAGGCATTCATGTAATGCACTTTTTAATAATGTATAACAAGAATAATTCAATATTATATACTACTATTCAACTATATAGCAATGAATCAGTATACACTTCAGAAAAGGCAAAAAAAAAAAAAAAAAAAAAAAAAAAAAATGTACACAGTACTTTCACTGAATCCTCTTGAGTTACCATTTGTAATTATAAACACCTCGTGTGTGACTTGGTCACGAAGGGTGTCACCAACTATAAACAAACACTGCCATCTCCATCACTCTCAATACCCACCTGGGTGAGGGATGGATACCAGGAGTGAGGTGGAGGTCGAGTTAGTCAGGTGAAGATAGAAGCAGAGATAGGAGCAGGAAGGGAGAGTGGAAGTGAGGGAGGAGTAGAGGCAATGAGGGAGGGATAGAGGCAATGAGGGAGGGATAGAGGCAATGAGAGATGGATAGAGGCATTGAGGGTGGGATAAAGGCATTGAGGGTGGGATAAAGACAGTGAGAGTTTGGGCATCATAAGTGTAATGACTGTGTCTTGTCACAGTCATTACACTAGCCAGAAGGCATTATCCACCAGGCAGTCCCCGTGGCGAAGTGGTAACACACTCACTTGGCGTTTCGCAAGTGCTCTGGCCTGGGTTCATATCCTGGCCAGGGAGGATTTACTTGGCACCAATCCTTAACTGTAGCCTCTGTTCACCCAGCAGTAAATTTGTCTAGTCTGACCGTATCTAGCCTGTCTGTCTACACCCAGTTTATCTAGCCTGTCTGTCTACACCCAGTTTATCTAGCCTGACAGTCTGTCAAGACTAACAATGTCTAGACTGACAGTCTATCTAGACATTGTATATACTGTACTGACAGTTTGTCTAGGTTGAGAATATCTATTCTGACTGTCTAGAGCCAGTTTATCTAGCCTGACACCCTGTCAGGGTTGGCAGTATGTCTGGCTTAACAGGCCTGGCAGTATGTCTGGCCTGACAATGTCTAGACTGACAATGTATAGACTGACACAATATCTAAACTGACAATAACTAGTCTGACTGTCTACACCCAGTTTGGCTAGCTTGGTAGTATGTGTAAGGGAGAACTTTTCCACCAGTCTTTGAATTTTGTCCCTCTATCCAAAGCAAATATGCACATCCCCCGCTTCAGCAAACCAGAGTTCATCAAATCGGGTGAGTAAATCCGGCCTGAAAAGTGTGCGTCCTAACCAGAGATTTGCCGAATTGAGGTTCGCCGAATCAGGGGTCCACTGTAATCACTTCTCAATGACTGTAATTTATTACTAGATAGCCAAAATTGGCTTGAGCCACATTAATGCATACCATGTTCTGAAGGCCTTAATCCTGTGAGAAGTGAACCAAATTCATTACTTAGAAACAACATGCTATTTCTGACACGAGACAAAGTGTCCACAAGCCTCCACTGTACTTAACATAAGCAAAGCCTTAACAAAGCTTACCTTTTATTATAGTATTTTCTGGAATCACTTTTAACTTCTTTTTTACAGATTTAGGCTTTTCTTCTTTTTGAGTTACTTCTCCATTCTCTTCCTGACATTCTGACAACACACCTTCCTGTGAAGTTTTTTGCATCTCTGGCTCATCGCTTTCAGCAGAAATTTCATTCTCTTTTTTTATATTAACCTGAAAAAATTATTGTATACATTTTATCATGACAATCATCATTTACCACCTTTATTGTGTATGGGCGGCATCAGCCTTGAGAAGATGGAGGAGTAGCATAAGTAAAGAGGTTACAAATTCATAAGACAGTGTATAGTGCTCCAAGCGAATTGTCATATACAGTACCACAGAAAATAAAGTGTACCATCTTCTTACATTAGGCTGATTATCAATGAGCAATGGTGTCCCTGAGTATCTCGACGGTCCCCGTCCCCTGCCTCGGCCACCTCTTCCTCCACGCAGCCTCGGTGCCGACACCTTTGTAAGTAATATGAAATACTGTGCATTCACAATCTATTACCACATTGTTATCACTATTAACATCATCAGTAATATGATGGTATTCAAGCTCTAAGGCTGGTGCTGTAATTGGTTGTCATACAATACTATATATTTTATTCAATGACTAGTTATGAAAATAAAATTTATATTAATATTTCATATATTTTAAAGTTCTGTATCTAATTTAAAAAAAGATAATATCTGTACTGTACAAGTCTATTCAAGAATACAGTACAGTAATGCACAAGGGTTTTTATATCACATTTAATTTCCTGCATACAAGTTCCTTAAAGATTTCTCGATAATGTATTTTACACCAGATCTAATAAAACTATGAACAGAGTGATACCATAAGTTAAAATTTTCTTTCACCTTTTGCGAAAGTTTCTTGAGGGCTTGCAGACGCACATCATCTGGTAACTTATCAAGTTTGCTTAATAGTTCATCCACCTGTAGGTAAAAACTTTCAATAGAGCACATTATTTATTTTCAAATATATACAGTACAGTACTGCACTGCATAAATAATTACACAATAATTAATCCTTAGAAAATATACACACAAATATTTTCTGCAAAATTATAATTTGATTGGGATTGTCTCAAAGTTCTCCAAATGAACTCACTAGAAAGGAGACGAGAGAGATACCAAATAATATACACATGGAAAATACTGGAGGGACAGGTCCCAAATCGCACAGTACAGGTACAATAACAAAGTACTGGAGTAAATGAACTGGAAGAAAATGCAGAATAGAACCAGTGAAGAGTAGAGGTGCCATAGGCACAATCAGAGAACACTGTATAAACATCAGAGGTCCGCGGTTGTTCAACGTCCTACCAGCGAGCATCAGAAATATTGGCGGAACAACCGTGGACATCTTCAAGAGGAAACTAGATTGTTTTCTTCAAGGAGTGCCGGACCAACCGGGCTGTGATGAGTATGTGGGCCTGCAGGCCGCTCCAAGCAACAGCCTGGTGGACCAAACTCTCACAAGTCAAGCCTGGCCTCGGGCCAGACTTGGGGAGTAGAAGAACTCCCAGAACCCCATCAAGCAGGTATCAAGCATGAGTTGGTCACTGTTGTTAACATTTCGTGCTCGCTTCACCCATCAACAGTATTTTCTTTTTTTTTTTTGGCTTAATAACATATTATCAAACACTGTAACAGTAGGCAAGTTTATCACTAAATGTTAAGTTCACTCCCAATTCTCTTAGTTTTTTTTTTTTTGAGGGGGGGGGGGGGGGACTAATACACAGTGTTGAACATGTAATGTAGTGGGTCAGGGTATGATAGGTTTGGGTAGGGTAAATATTTTAGCTGCTTATAAAAAAAAGTCAGATCTTACATAAACAAGGAACAGTAGTTTCAAGCCGCCAGCATCCTGTCCTCGTCAAGGCCACTAGAGAGATAGTAGCCCTCAAGTAAATTCAGGTAAAAATTTCCAGTAGTATTTAGAATAACACGTCTAACATCTTGTTTTTGGATTAAATACAAGGTTATTACATATCCAAATCATACGGTGTTCCAAAGGACAATAATCAAGTACTATATTGTATTTCCTTGGGGATGCAAAATCCAGTTACAGTATTCCTCTAGTGTTTTTATCCTGAATGAAAGTATAACATTTCTCCATAAACTTGTATCAAAGTATAGTGATCCACACAGGCCTGTATCAAAGTACAGTACAGTACATTTTCCTCCCCAAGCCTGTAACCAAGTACAGTATAATACCCCTATGACAAGTTATAGCACTTGGAATTTATCTGGAGTGGGAATATTGGAATTTGACCCATGTATCATATTCCAAAAATGTGCAGCCATGTTGGAATAGACGAATGCCAACAAATATTGTTGAAAACATCTTGATAACTTATTAAAACAAAAAAACAAAAATTATTTATATGTCACCTCACATATTTATATGTTAGGCTTGGTTTGGTTAGGTTTGGTTAATTCCAACATGGTTGCACATTTTAAGACTTGTAGAATGTAAGTCTAAGACTGCACATTAAGCAGTCCCCATGACGCAGTGGTAAAACACGCGCCCAGCCCTTCACGGGCACTTCGGCCTGGGTTTGTATCCTGGTCGCCAATCCTTAACTGTAGTCTCTGTTCACCCAGCAGTGAATGGGTACCTGGTTGTTAAAAGATTTGATTACGTAAACTGCAGGCCATGCAAGGCAACATCCACATATTCCCAACTTAATCATCTATAAATGTCTAATTTACACTTGAAATATTCCAAATGTAATCCCATATCTAGTATGATATTCTGGCAATTTGTTCCCTAAATCTACAATGCTTCTCAAGTCAGTAGTTACTCTTTATTTTTTTCTGAATTTAAATTATATCAATTTACAACTTTTATCTATTATTTTACATTGATATATTTATCAGATTTATATCCTTTTTCATCTACTAATATTTTTAATTATATAACCCTTAATTTTTCCAGATAATGTAAATGAACCTTTTATAATTCAGTGCATAAAAAAAAGGTTCCCAATTCTTGGAACCAACTTTGTCCTCATCCTCTATACATTTTCAAGCTAATTTAGGTTCATGCTATTGAATGGTGACCCAAACTGAACTGCATAATCTGAATGAGGCTTAACAAGGGAAAGCTAAAACTGAAAAATAACTATCATATTTACAGCTTTTTTTAAGTTACAAAACTCCAGCAATTCAATTTCTTTCTTTATTATGCACCCCATACCCATCCTGTGGGCGGTGGTGTAAAGGATTACAGAGGCACATAATCGGTTTAGGAACTGAACCCTCTAGTTCATTTAGCTAAGCAAATAATTTTTGACGCTAGGTACAAAATTATTAATGTTATATATACATGTACACATTCTCATACATACATGTACATAGATATATATACGTATACATATATACATACACATACATATTTAATCACCCACACAAGTACACACATCAATAATCTTTTGTGTCAAGTGATTCAACAAGAGGCTCACAACAGTCACTATACAAGGCACTTTACATCTATGGTGAGTCGCACAGTTACTAGTCTTGCTCCACCCAACTGGGCCGCAGCTTTACAGTCATGTGCTCCACACCCACCCAACTGGGCAGCAGCTTTACAGTCATGTGCTCCACACCCACCCAACTGGGCCGCAGCTTTACAGTCATATGCTCCACACCCACCCAACTGGGCGGCAGCTTTACAGTCATGTGCATGCATTACTTACAGTAAGCAAATTTTGGATACTTCCCTAAGATTTCGGGCAGCACATCATTATGAATGAAGTGCTGCCCAAAATCTTAGCAAAGTATCCAAAATTTATCCATACTAAATACTTATGGATACTACTATCCATAAGTATCCATACTAAAAACTCCAGCATCTCAATGCTTTATTTTGAAAATGAATATTTGACTTCAGATCACCTACTCCAGGTAGCCACAATTTCCTCCACTTTTGGCTGGGTAAAATAGATGAGGTTTAAGATTAGTATTGTACAAAAATGTAAGAATTATTGTATATATAAATAAATAAATAAATAAAGTGAATAAAAAAAAATATGGAGCGACTTGTCCTAAACCCATTCAACATTCGTCGTCTCTTCTGTGCCAACTACACTCTCTGGAATCCCTTAAGGTTAAATATATGTTTCAGACAGATATATCCACGGGCTCGCAGGTGTTAAACATTAGGAAAATAGTTTGATCATTCATAAAGGGAGCAACCAGAGCCACGTACACCTCACGCCTAGACCTCCCACACAACAATAAACTTTTGCAATATAAATAAAGATGAAAACTACCACAAGCAAACTCATCGCCTTTTATTCATCGAAAAAACCTGCCTCTCGAGCGTCTGTTATGAGTTAGGCATTACAAAAATATTCTTGCTCTTACCTCGTTCAATATATCGTCAGAATCCAGCTCCATGTTGGAGGAATTTAGAGGCAAATAATGATAACCTCGCGTCATGAAACGCCGTCTCATGCAAATGGCCGCCGGCCTCCACACCCGTCTTCTCTAACCTAATGATCTTCATTGATATTTTCGAATATGTTGCACAATTGATTACGCATACAACACTAACTGTCACTAACTTAATATTCACCCGATACAATAGTATTTATATCTCCAAAATTTTAATTTAATTTATCGAGGCCAAAATTTTTCGGATTTAGAAAGCACGATGTAAACATTGGGGTTCAGGTGTGGTGGGAAGCCTCGCCCTCGGCCAAGACTATTCAATATTACTGTCATATATAAGGGAGTTTTGACAAGTTTGGCTACGTTACGACGCCTTTTGTATAGTGCTTGAGGTGAGTGGCTTGTCTTATTTGGACGACATTAAGCGGAGCGACAGGACAAGAATTGTCTTCTTTCGAATTTGAATTTGACTGAATCTTATATTTTGTAATTAATCAACTGTTACGGAAGGCATAGCCATAAACTTCCATTTGTGTAAGTATTTAATCAATTCTACATTTATCTACATTTAGGGACCTCGCGGCTGAGTGGACAGCGCTCACGGGTCGTAGTCCCAAGGGCCCAGGTTCGATTCCTGGCGGAGACGGAAACAAATGGGCAGTTTCTTTAACCCTGATGTACCTGTTCACCTAGCAATAAATAGGCACCTGGGAGTTAGACAGCTGCTGCTACAGGCTGCTCTCTGGGGATGTGTGTGTGTGTGTGTGCATGTGTTGGGGAGAAATATATGTACAGTAGATATAATAGAGGAAAAATAGATTGGTTAGAAAGGTGAGGTTCAAGAGCTAATAGCTCGATTCTGCAGACACAAATAGTAAATACATCTAATGCCAGTGTTAATCCGCATTATGCACACCCAGGAGAGTGAACCATTTATATTTATATACAGTATTTATTTATTTATGTATTTACAGTATATACAAGAAGGTACATCGGATTGTGAGAGTACATACAATTGTTTTTTTACACTTGCATAGTGTTTTAGGCAGACAAAACTATGTAACTCAACCTAAGAGTGAACCCCATAACACACCCTGAGAGTGAACCCCATAATACACCTTGGGAGTGAATTTCATAACACACCCTGATAGTGAATCCCATAACACCCTGAGAGTGAACTCCATAACACTAGGGTTCCGGTAGTACAGTCGGGTTCGTTCTTGACCCACAATCGAGAATTCCAGGCTCCAATCCCGAGTGGGACAGAAATGGTTGGGCACATTTCCTTTCACCTAATGGGACTGTTCACCTAGCAGTAAGTAGGTATCTGTACTCAGGGGTTATTCAGCTTGTTGTGGGGTTGCATCCTGGATGGGGTCAGTAATTCGACATAGGGGGGGGGGGGGGAAGGACCCCAATAAAAGCCTAACGTGTACGAATGCACTCTGGCTTCCTGTCCCTCGACACAATGAATTATTATTATTATCTTAACACACCCTGGTGGGTAAATGGACTATGTAAGACCATGTAGAATGAACCTTATAACACCCTGGAGAGTAGGTCATATAACAGATAGAGCAGTTCTTTCTAGGGTCATTAGAGAATCTTCTAAAATGAATACTCCACCAAAGAATTGTGGATATAACGGAAACAGACATTATATCTACAACTATATAATGGATACAGACAATAGTGCCATGAGATGTGTCACAATTTTAACATTATTCTTACTTATATTCTTTATTTGCAGAAAATGTATACAAGATTTTTTGTTAAACATTATTGCATTCACACATTATAATAAAAAAATTATTATTATTATTATTATTATTATTATTATTATTATTAAAATTAATTAGTTAAGTATAGAATTCAGGTTACATTGTCTTGTATTAAAATTGCACAATACTCTGTAGTTTCGTCCCCGCAACATAGTTCAATTCCACGGATCCTGCAACTCGCTGAATTTGAGCCAGTCTACCATCAGTTCCCCCGAATGGCAACGTGTTTAATACATCTCCTTCCCACTGAGACTTGTTCAAGCTTAACAGTATATCTACAGTATTATTATTGTGTGATGTATTCAATATATCCAGAATCCATATGTTGGGTAAAGGTTTGTTTAAAGGTTATTCAATTACTCCCAAGACAGAGTGGTTTTTCTTATATTAAATTTGTATGGAGAACAATATTACAGTATTTTATTTGTTTAGATAAGACAGATAATCTGCTATAACAGAGGCATTATGGATTTTTGTGTTCTCCCCTTAATGGATTAATAATTTATTTACAGCTGATATAACATGGCAAAGCGACCAAAAGTTGTTTTGGATGAACCTTCTGGGACCATATGGCCAGAAAACTTCAATTTATTATCACAGAAGACTTCTTCAAAACTCTTGTATGTTTCTATAAGATTGCTGTTTGGCACTAATTTAAAATAACATTACACACAGTAATATTATTAAAAAAATGACATTATTTTAATTTGATGATGAAATATAATATGCCTGTTATAAATCAAATCTATATATTTTAAGTATATTGGTACACAACTCAACACTTCATTTATCATATAATGACATACCGTGTGGGGCATCAGACCTGTGCTGGAGGTAATTGGAACGGGTAGCCCGCAGTCTGCAGTCCTGAGCTGCCATTGCTCCTACTTGGCCATCGTCACACGGGGTGAAGATGCTTCAATCCTACTCTTCATTGTCAGTATGACTGAAAAAAAGTGAGTGACTTTGCTATATACAAAGGTTTTTGAATAGCCCTTTGAAATTTATTTGTCCTCATGTGCCATTGACTTATCTTTATATTCACAAAACTACATAGGCTTATGCAGACAAGGAGTCACAATAACCTGGCTGAAATATGTTGACCAAACCACACACTAGAAAGTGAAGGGACGACAACATTTCAGTCCGTCCTGGACCATTCTTAAGTCGAAACGGCGTTGTCCCTTCACTTTCTAGTGTGTGGTTTGGCCTACATAGGCTTAATTAGTGAATTGCTTTAACTCTTTAAAGTATATTCAATGTACTGTATTCACAAGAATGTTAAAAATCAGTTTTTATTTATGTACTGTAGATATAACAAGTACAGGAAGGTGTACAAGAAGAATTGTAACAGGTTACAACCTTGTAAACTAAGATTTACATCTGTTTTACATTGTGGTTGGATTGTTTTACCATAAACATGCAGTTGCCAGTTTTAGTACTGTACAAATCAATATGAGTGGTTTATGTAAAGGGTTTCTTTGATTATCAGGGTTAATTAGTACCCCCCCTGAGTGGTACCAATCAAGCCCACCCCACTCACATCCTTGCCTACAGTTACACCAGACAAATGGGGAGGCACTTGTATTTTAAGGGTACGGAACGTCACGATATTTCATTATTTTACTATCATTAGATGGTAAGGAATTGCTTTTATTAAGTATTTCATGATATTTTGTGTGTGGTAAGATATACCAATCATAAGGGATCAGGGATACCTCCCTTGATTAGTTGCAAAATATAACTATAAAGTTAATCGTATTGTAAGGTACATGAAAATTAAAAACTAAAATGTTTTTGTTTAATCAAATCCCACCCTTTATCAGAAAAGTTAAATAGAAAACAAATGTTCATTATATGGAATGTTCATTTGCAGAAATCTTTAATTTTTGGATACACTCCACTTCTTTTAGTTTGCTCACTATATTAAATGGAAACATTTCAGATTCTATCTGCTGAAAAAAATAAATGCGCTGTGCACAGCTTTGACATTTCACCCATACCAGGAGAACACCCTCATTCTTGCTTCAGCCTCCTGTAAAGTGTATAGGATTAATGTAGGTGAGTCCTGTAAACATTTTCAACTAAACAAGATACAAAAGTTGATTACCTATATACTGTGAACCATTACTGTATGACAGTATTATGTTCACATCATAGTAGTCCAGTTTTTGGCCAGTAGCTTGTTTACAAAGTATATGTAACATGTAAAGTATATGTATATTACATTCACATAGGTGAATGTGATTGTTTATACAAGTGCAGCTCAACCACTTTTTGTTAGTCCAACAGTCTGCCTATTTAACCTTCTGCGCCTGTTTCAATCTTAGATAATTGTACTCCATGTTAATGGAATGGAATTCATAAAATTAGGTAAATGATTATGGCAACATATAAAATACTGGGAACATTGAGTCAGTCATAATATGGTAGATTCCATGGAGTAACAGCCTTAGGATTCCAAACATTTAATTTACTACTACCTGTACTTAATATATTAGTTCAGTTCCAGGGTCCAGGCATGGTTGTTATTGTTTTATAATTTCAGTACTGTACAATATGGTATGGACAGAACTGGTCTGCATAGCAATTTTTAAATTTTTGTTAAGTTTTTTGATCAAGCAACTTCATCCTACATGGATAGATTGATGCATATTAATAGTAACAAGTAATCAACCCCATTTATTTATTATGTTGAACAGATGATGGTTCTGTGATACCAATGGAAGGGCATACGTCACCTGCTGAAGCAATCCAGTTAGGGGCACGCTCCCCACTAGTCATAACCCATAATGCCCATGAAGTATTACTCTGGTCGTGGCCATCAGTATCCCTCACCAGTAGGATGCGACACGATGAGACCGTGACAGTTGTCTGGGTAAGATTTTATTACTAACTTTAGTTTTTCCAGTATCACAGTAATTATTGCCCAGTATAAATGGAGTACGCTAAGAATAACCAGAATTTCTCTTGCTATTGCAAAAAAGAATAAAGCAACCATAAATTAATGTGGTTTTATGCATAATTAATACAGTTGAATTCTAAAGAAAACTATTTTTATTATTATTATTATTATTAGTTTGACACTCATTTATATTACCTGTTCATTTGCTTATACAGTACAGTATTGATATTTTGTAATGCATGTGTAATGATCCTAGGCTGGCCATGTGTGGCAGAGAGATGAGCTGGTGGTGAGCTTCATCAATGGCAGTGTTCTCATCTGGGTGTCGCACACACGAAACATTCAGGTCCACATTGAGCCGCCCAAGGGTTTAGATTTTGATTTTAAAGCATTTGTCCTATCCAGGTAATATATTTGAACATGGTATTTGAACCATTATATTTGAGCCATTACTTTATTTTCCTGCTTTTAACGTTCACTCTGCTCTATTTTTTCTTAGGTTTTCACTGCATTCTGTGATCAGATCAGTTATTTGCTTAATAGATTTTTATATCTTTCCTAAGCACCTTTTTCCCTTGTTCTTGCACCTCTGTCCACTTGCATTCAGTACTGTACTGTAATTTGACAAATTTTCATATTGTTACAGTTTGTTTATATTCTATATAGAGATGGAAACATTGTAGCAAATTGAAACCAGAACAAAGACAATTATATAACTTATCCACAAAATATCTCTACCGATGATATTTGAAGGGTTGTTTATCTGAAGTGTCAAGATAAATGCCATTAGCTTCCATGTAAGGTGCTAAGATATTCTATAAAATGACTTAATTAAGAAGCAAGACAGTATATATACAGTACATTTGATCCAAGGATTCTCAAAGGAACACCATATCTGTGAGATGAAATTGTATTGTAAATACTGTATGACTATACATAAAATAATGAAGGGGTGGGTGCAGTTCAATCTCCAAAATCCAGAATATTGCATATGGTTCCCTACCTGATTTGGATTATGGAATTTTTTAAATTTTGGTATTTTTCATTACTTACCATTGCATATTTTGGAAATTTTGTAATGCAAATAATAGAATACATTTGTGTGGATGTTGAAACACAGTACAGTATATAGTACCTAAGAACTGCTTACAAAAACTCATAAGATATTTGATCCCCTGAGATTTTTTTTATCAACCTTTGTCTCTCTTCTCTGGTTCTTTTTATGTTAGAAACAGTGCAAGTGTCAACACTTAATTTGTCTACTAGCATCTTCACACTCTCGGAGATGATCACTTTTCTCTGTAAATAGACTTCCCATGTTCAGTATGAGTGTCCTGGTGGTGGTGAGTGTCTGGGACCAAGCAAGACAACTGATAGTTAGTATATGTCGTTTTTTGCCAGTCACCTGTGATGCTAAGGAACAGTTTGGAAAGACTGAAATTTTATGAATGGAACTTTTGTTGGTCATTCTGAGCTGGATTGAGTATTCTCCAGTGACTCCCTGACACCTGCTACAACTCTCCAGTACTGTACTGCATAAAATGTCTTATAAGGTGCTGCTGCCAAAATATTGTCCTGTCTGACTTTGTATGGTTTTTTTCTTATAAACACGATGGCCCTTGCCTTAGGAAGCAGCCAAATGATTCTTTTTATACTAACTCAAAACCTCATTATTATCAAATTATAAATAGCAAAGATAACACACTCATAATAATAATAATGCTTTCTTTTAGGGGAGGTGAATGGCTGGTGGGAGGGGGCAAGAGTCACCTCCTAGTTACATACTCTCTCATCAGCCGGAGTGTTGCACAGGTGGTCCAGCTGCCAGCATCGTGCTCAGATGTCTACCAGCCAGTCTTCCTCCCTTCAGTCCATCCAAACTATTCCCAGGTAATGTTCTGCACAGTATATCATCCTTAACTTTCCCTAATGTTTATTTTATTAAAATGAATATTTAATAATTATTTAAATTATTAAATTATTATTTAAATTAATTAAATGAATAATGAATTATTTAAATGAATCTTCTAAATAACTCTATAAAATACAGTACAACCTCGATTCAGCGAACTATATGGGATCATCCCAATTCATTGCAATGAGGGGTTTGCTGCAACTGCCAATGCTTCCAGGATGCATTTCCCCATGCCCTATTGGCTAGTTTCACTCGGCAAAATGTTCATTTCAACCTATAATATAATACTCAATTACCAAATGAACATGTCTGGAAAAAAAAATTAACCACATCTACCTTATTTCTCATGCCCCCAGCCTCAACATTCATTTTCAAAAGGTAGCAGAGACATACCTGAGTCAACAAAAACCCTGCCAACTGAGAATGAAAATAAACCATAGAATTGGGTTTTAAATACTCACAATAGCCTTCCCAAGGCTCCAACTATTTCTTATAATGTTGAGTTTATCTACAAAAATCTTAAAAAATGTGATTGGAACCATATTAAAAGAGAAATCATTCAAACCCTAACATTTCCACACTCTGGCCTGATCTTACAGAGTGAAATTATAATTTCAATCTGTCATATGAAGGGCACCAACTGAGAAAACCTGTATGTGATGAGATTTAACCTCATCTAGCAAATTTCCCACTCCCAAGCCTCAAAATATTAGTTTCAACAGAAAATGGGCCCATATTTTACTGAACAAACATCTCTGCAACTGGAAATAAAAAGAACTAAAAAAAATTTGGTTTTAAATGTGCTCAATGCACATTTGGCCCAATGCCCAAGGCCCCACCCTGGAAACACAAACCGAAACCCTCTCTATTTTCCGCTTGTTACAACTTGTAATAAAGTTGTTACATCATGGCACATGTTTATGACGTATTAGAGCGTTGTTACAACTTGCTATATTGGTTGTTATAACTGGTTAGGTGGTGTTGAAACTTGTTCGAACATTGTACCAATGTCGTAGTTTCGGTGTGTGTTTGGCGGGCAACTATTTCTTGTAATATTCCCTCCATCTATGAACTCAGTCTCAAAATTCTAAGCTAATCCTCACATCCTCTGCTTCAATGAAGATGAGTTCACTGAAGCAAATCTGGAGTGAGTGAACAAATCTGGCACAGAAAATGTGCGTTCAAACAGGAGATTCACAGAATTGAGGTTCCACTGTAAATGAAATAGTGTTGCTATTGGCAGGAATCATTAACGATTAAAAGTTGAAAGACTAATGCAGTAAAGAAAGGAAAAAAAAGACTTGACAGAGAAAGAATATTTTAGTAGGAAATGATTGTACATGAAGAAAGGCTGAAAGTAAGGTGTGGGCATGAGTGTGGAAACATGTGTATGCATGTGTTTGATATACCATTTTTAGTAGAAATCTACAGCATGGTACAAGGATCTTGATATGTGTACTTCATTTGGAAAGTTATGTCAATCTACTCTGATCCCCCGTCAATATTTTATATGTTGTGATCATGTCTCTTCTGGTTCTCCTCTCAAAGATTGTTAGGTTGAGCTTCCCTAACATGTTTTCATAGCCTAGTACTCTTATTTCAGGCACTGACTTGTTTCAAACTTTATGATATTCTCAATTTTATTATTTTACAAAACAGGGATTCTAGTTCAGTGCTGTATATTCTAGAGCAAGTCTGTCATAGGCTGTGTATATTGTCTTGAAGATCCTCTTTAAATTTTGAAAGGCTATCTGTATGTTTGCCAGTTTTTACATATGCTACTGATATTATTCTTTGTACATAAGAACATAAGAATAAAGGAAATTGCAGTAAGGTTTATTGGCCCATATGAGGCAGCTCGTATCAAACTCATTCATATGCATGTCTATCCTACACTTAGGGCAATCCAGCTTTCCCATGTCAACTATGATACCTAGTAATTTGTTCCATAAATCAACAACATTACTGTATTTCCAATTCAATATTTACCCAGGTCTTTTCTAAATCTTTACTACTCCAATTTATATCCATTGTTCTGAGTTCTATATTGTGTTGACATACTTTAAACTTAATTTATATTCCCAATGTTGGTACTGGTGGTATAAAAATTTCCAAATTATTATCTGCTTCTATTACAGAGACAAATTCTCCGTGTACATGAAATTAAGAAGTTGGATGCTCCTCTCAGTGTATATACCCCTGTGCATACTGCCAGAGATGACTTGTGAAATAGCTAAATGATGTACAATATCTACAACTTTGTTGCCATGATTTTTTTCATTCTTGATATTTTCTAGTGATACAGTTCTGTGTTATTCTCACAGGTCTTGGCCCTGCTAAACTCTACTGGTGTGTTAAACATCATTGATTTCACAACTGCCACAAAGCTCAAAACTATAAGGTCCCAGAGATTTAATATTGGTTAGTACGTGATGTTTTTTCTTACTTTCTGTAACATAGAGCACTGTATTAACCTCTGCAGTTTTATGTCCATGTCCATAAAACTGTACATCAAACATATTACCTGGGCTATACCTGGTAATACTTTTTATATATTCTGAAAGTTCTTCTACTCCCCAAGCCCAGCTTGGGGCCAGGCTTTTCCTGTGATAATGAGATTTAAAAGGCTATTACTTGGAGTGGCCCACAAGCCCACATATCCAATACAACCTGGGTGGTTCAGGGGATTAGCTGTATCAAATGTAATTAAGTAGCAGACTGAATACTGAGCTAGGAGACTAATGTTGGAGTTAATTACCAATGTAACATTACTCTCAAGAATATTTGATATGGGGTAGCTCTTAAAAGATGAATTACTAATAGTGTAACTCTGGGAAACTCATTAAATGTCATAATTTCATGTGTGTGTGTGTGTGTGTGTGTGTGTAGGACAAATGAACTAAATGGGTGACATGCCATGTACTTCACAAAAAGGAATTGTGGAGATAAATCTGAACGATGTAAAAATATGTGAGGATTGCTGTATATTGAGGGTACTTGTGGACAGTAAGATCAAAGTCCATGAGGTTCTTATTTTTAGTGATACCAGCTGACTATTGAGATAAATCACTGGCAGCTCTGTAATTCAGCTGCATAGTGTAAGATACCATGTAGTTTCTACTGCCTCACAGTCTTTATTTGTGCCATCACCAAACTGGGGGGTTGCTGATTTCAATCGTAATCTTTTCACACCTCTTACGCACATTACATCAGCACAACATAATTTGTCTTTCCCTTTATTTTCACCATCTCTCCAATCAAAATTTTGATTCATGGTTGATGTCACAGCTATAGTTCATTGTTCCTGGTATACAGGAGTACAAAAACTCTTTGAAATGAGGATTGACTCTGCTGTCATTGGAAGGATGGACCCTCATAATATCCTGATATTAGCTCCTCCCATGACCTTAATCCATTTATGGACAACTCTTCATTCGCAAAAAGATTTCAGTAATATCTGTAGACATGCAATAAATTACCTCCCTATATCTTCCTAGACCCCTTGTCCTTCTGTTACTCAAGAATCATCTATTTTGACTGATTTTCTTTAATTTTTACTGTTTTGTGTTGTTGAATAGGGAGTTTTGAATTTCTGAATTTTGTTTTAACCAATTTCAACATTGTCTTATATGATAGTTCCCATGGTGTCTATCAACTCTGAATATTTTTAGATATGGTGAATGTGAGCGATGATGGCAACTTCTTGGCTGTGACTTTTGCCAATTGTATTACAAAAATTTATGCAGTAAGAGCACTTTTTCCTGAAGATCCCAAAAATGTTTCAATCCCTCAAATAACAAAAGAAGAGGTAGCATTCAAAATTGTAGAAAAAAGAGAAAAGGAGGAGCGTGAAGAAGAAATCAGAAGACGCGACAGAAGGAAAAAGACAATGGAATTACAGGTAGGCATTTCATTGTTTGGATTCATAATACAGCATCGATATAACTTTTTTTAATAATTGTTATAAGTTACATGAAAACAAGACTTTTGAGTAGATATGAAAAGTACCTTCTTGAACAAAGTTATTTGGTTGCCTATGAAGATATGAGTCCACTGTGTCATAGACAGGACTACGAGACCGATAGGGGACAAGTACCGTAAGGGAAAGTTGAAAAGAACTTTGAAGAGAGAGTTCAAGAGAGTGAACTATCGTCAGGCAGGATGACATTTAGTCTCTGGCATTGCCGGAATATTTTCAGACATTCCTTCAGAGTCATATAAGGTGCTGGGAAGGCAATGGAGTCCTAAGTCTGGACTCCAATGCTTCCCAGTCCCCTCACATGACTGGAAGGCTAAGTCCTGTGTATAATGACCATCAGAGGTTACTTTACCTTTATATCTTGGTGATGTTCTGGGGATCATGGCTGCAGGGATATGTTATGGGTATAATATATCCTTGCTATATCCCTGTAGGGATATATTATGAATATAACAACAGTTCTTTGACCAGGCATGCTGTTATGTATATCCAAGTGAGACTTCACAAACTGTTTTTCACCTTCATTGACCAAACCAGCAAACCCCACCAGGTGGCATCACCAATGCCTACCCAAGGTTTGAGACCCAGTTCTGGTCACATTGTTCCTTACATAAACATAAAATCTACTAACAGGAGCAGGACAAAGCATTTTGGCATGGTTCCTTACACGTAATGCCTCTGTTCACGTAGCAATACATAGGTGCCTGTGAGTTTAGCAGCTGTTGTGGGGAAGGTCAGTTGTTGACCTTGGTGGGTTTCAATATGCCTAACAGGCTTCCAGTTCCCGATGATTGGAGCCAAAGCTGTTTTTTCTGAGCCGTTGCATTCACTTGGTGCCTCCTAACATGAGCCTTGGTAACAAGATGCTACATAACCAAGAAAAAGAAAATACTGTATATCGGCAAGACACAGAAAGGGAGAAAGTACTCCCCTGTGATGCAGAGAGGTTCTAAAGAATGCAGGGTGTAGATAACATCCACCTTGAAGACAGTAATTATCAGTGAATAGTGTTAAACAAGTATTAATATATATAGTTGGTCCCTGAATGTTGTCCTGGCTGACTGTTTATGAACCCTGTCTACGACAGTGGTGTCTTATCTACTGTGGCTCAGGTTTTTCTTTTATTTTGGTTAGTTCTATGTCTACCCACTCCCATCAAGTGCAACATGTGTGGCTTCATCTTGCATACTGTAAGTGTCTTAAACTATAACATGATTTGAAACCCATTTTGGGAGTGTTTATGTTCTACATACACATTTTTTTTTTATTTTTAGTGTAATAATTAAAGCTTTTGATTTTGATTTACTGTACTAGTTATTTTTCTAACATTTGTATAAATAAATATATTAGCAAAATGTAGACACTGGTTGTGTACTCTGTATGCTGTAATTTTCAGATGACCTTTCTTTCTGTTTCTGCTCTAGTAATCGTTGTTAACACCTGTAATTCAATTATAATTGCAAGGCGGTATATATATCGTAAAACAATGACCAGTTTCTTTCAGGAACTACTTGACAAAAATAAATGGTACAAGATTCTCCAGGAGTTCAACAGTTACCCAGAGAAGTATAGACACTTGATATGGTTATCTATGCTCGAAGTTCCCCGCAACTACTCGGTATTCAGCTCGCTGCTAGACAAAGGAACCCACACGTCATTTGAAGGGCTCCAGGAGGTCCTACAACTGTCTGATGGAACACTGTTGCGAACACTTCAAGGGTAGGTAAAAATTGAATGAATGATGGAGCACTATTCAGGATGTTCCAAGAGCAGGTGAAAGTTCATATATATGATGAAGCACTATTCATATAACACCAAAGGCAGGTGAAAGTTTAGCTATGCCTCGGTGCCTTACCACCTCCTCGGTGTTTCCCCATTAAGGGGTATATTTCCCATTAAGGGGAACGTCTCGCTGGTCACAGCGAGACGTTCTATCACTTCCCAAAACCTTTCACTTTCAAGCTCTCAGGACTCCTTATTCCCTGTAGTAGCAATTTCAGACCCATGAATGGATTGACTCGTACATTTTTAAATTGTGTGGTAATTGCACTGCGAGTAGGTAAACTGAACCTTGCTGGGGTTCATGTCGCTGAACAAAAAATAGGAATGATTTCACCACCACATGAACAAAATCAAGTCGCAAGCAATGTGGGTATTTCTGAGATGTGTGCATTACTCACTCTTATGTTTTTCTCATTCAGAACATTGTCTTGCCTGGCACACTGGGCACCGTTCCTATCCAGTGTGGAATACCTCCCCGAGTTTGTGTTTCCATTCGTCAAGATGTTTCACAGTAACCGCCTGCTCTGTTTTGAGGTGACAGTTACAATTATTAGTAAGTGGTCAGCTTGTGTATTTGTATGTGTTCCCGTGTATGTGTTTTTGCACAATACTTTGCATCTTGTATATGCAGTTTAGCTGGATATGAAAAACTAAATTATTATAAGGAGGATGTATTTTTTCATGAAACTATTTGCTAAGGAAAAAATAATTTTGCTTACTACAGTCATAGATGGTAGTTAAGTAATACAGAACAGTACAAGTGTTTGTCAATACTGTCATTATTGAAGGTTTTTGAGAGGAAAGGGTGGTTATAATTAAATGTACAATAATTGTAATGCCTTAACTTTAAGTAATTGTTCAGTGCTTGTATATACGTACAGTACTCTGTATTATAGGAGACTCATAAAACAATTAACATGACACAATGTTCTCGTTACAGTGAATTGGTGTAATTTATGGTTTGAATTCTGGCCAAAACCTGGGATAACAGTTCTCAATGTGGTTGAGCAAATTGTGTGTGAGGTAGATCCCACATTGCTTGCTCATCTTACGATGCTTAAAGTCACAGCTGAAGACTATGCTTGGTCTTTGCTTACCACTGCATTTTCTAAAGTAAGTATAGCTCCTGTGTATTTGTAATAATTTTTCTGTTTATTCTTGTATTTTTGCTGTTCAGTTCATATTTGTTCATAGTAATTAGACTTGCTGCAGCTTCTCCAGCTTAGTCAAGACTAAAATAAGGCTGATGAATATTGTCATAACAGTTCAGACAGATATATGGGTTGCAGAAAATAAAGTCGCAGTAACGTGGCTGCAAACAAATTATCCAAACCACACATATGAAAAGAAATAAAGTAATGACATTTCGGTCTGTCTTGGACCCATCAAGGTGACTTGAATGTGGTTGAGTTGACCCCTCATCAAGTTGACTGGATGAGGGGTCCAGAATGGACCAAAATATCATAATTTTCATTTCTTCTCATATGTGTGAGTTGTGTTATTTGTTAGTTATAGGTTTAAACTGTGAAACATTTTTGGTTACAATGAATTTTTCTGGAGGTTTGACTAGCATTTTTATTCTCGGACTTCTGAACACATGAACTGCGGAATGCATAGTGTATTACTGTACTTGTTTTTCTTAATTGCCTTGACTGATGGCATTGTAATTATTAAGTGTTACACTGTGGAGTCAGCATAGAACTTCCAGGTTATAAAGTGTTACTTTTGCCATCAATAGATGACTGAATGTAAAATATACTTCTTGTTCTGTAAAAATGTAATTCTCTTTGGCACATATGTAAAGCTAATGAAGTACAGTATTAGTAAAAATGTAAAAGAGAAAGCAAACTTTATCGATATGTAATTCAGTGGTGTTATTATTTCACAATAATAATAAGAGAATATTACGGTGATATCTTACAGTAGAGAATATACTAGAGTTACAGTGCACAATATTTCATACTGAATTTGTGTATTAATTAGTGTTAATAGTGTAAAAATGTACATATATGCACTTTTGGCCACAGGCAGGCAGTGGCTGGAATATCAGTCTCTTCAGTGTAATTACCTAAGTGTAGTTACAGGATAAGAGCTATGCTCGTGGTGTCCCATCTTCCCAGTACTCTTTGTCATATAACACTCTAAAACTACTGACGGTGTTACTGTGTGAACATGCCTGACCAGTACAAAGGAAAAGACATTTTGTTAATTTTTTTTTTAATTTTGCCTCTGCCATATAATTTTCTTTCATTTTTAAAGACAAAATATGCTGCAATTAAATCAAACAAATTTTTGGCACACTGATGACTTTCTTGTTAAATGTATCTGCAGGAGTACAGTGCCCAGGTTCATGCCTACATACCATGAGCTAAACAAAATTCAAACTGAAAATATGAATACAAGAATTTTTGTTAGTTCAGTATACTGCATTAAAATAAATATTTGCTGTTAAGGGTTTCTTAAGGGGGTTGTTAAATGTGTGCTTTTAATAATTCTGAAAACCCGAGCATACTTTTAAGATCAGAATGTAAAGTGAATTATCTGCTATAAAACAAGATTAAAGTGCTATAAAACTGGATTAAAGGTGAAGTAAGAGTGTGTAATGGTAACTTATCCATATACAGTACAGTGATGGGCTTCTTGATGGTCAAAGTAGACTGTTAAGATCTATTAAGTACACACTAGAAAGTGAAGGGACGATGACGCTTCGGTCCGTCCTGGACCATTCTCAAGTCGACTGTGACTTGAGAATCTCTCACAATCGACTTGAGAATGGTCCAGGACGGACCGAAACATCGTCGTCCCTTCACTTTCTAGTGTGTGGTTTGGTCAACATATTTCAGCCACGCTATGGTGACTCCTCGCCTGCATCTATTAAGTAGATTTGTGGCTGCTTGGCTGCAAATCATTTTCCAGTCCATTTTAAGTGGGCATATGTCCATGTATATGAAGTTCATCTTACTGGAATATAAATGACTTTCTTAATAGCATTGGAAAAAAAGTGGGAATACTAAATTTTTTAAATAACCCATATTCTAAGTTTGTTTTCAACTGGGCTCAATATTTCTTTATAGGTTTTGTCAACGAGTGACTGGTTAGTGTTATGGGACCACATTCTATCAAACCAGCTCTCCTTCCTGCCATGCGTCACAGCAGCATTCACATTAAGATCCCGGAAAACGCTCTTCACTTGCAGTGATGCTAATGAAGTCAAGGTGAGGGCAGGTATGGTAATTCAATTTGCATTATGTATATACAGTACAAATATGCATTATGTATATTTTTTATATATGTTGTACCTAGTAGCCAGAACTCACTTTTTGGCCTACTATGCAAGGCCCGATTTGCCTAATAAGCCAAGTTTTCCTGAATTAATATATTTTTTCAAATTTTTTTCTTATGAAATGATAAACCTACTCATTTCATTATGTATGAGGTCAATTTTTTTTATTGGAGTTAAAATTAACGTAGATATATGACCGAACCTAACCAACCCTACCTAACCTAACCTAACCTATCTTTATAGGTTAGGTTAGGTGAGGTAGCCGAAAAAGTTAGGTTAGGTTAGGTTAGGTAGGTTGGGTAGTCGAAAAACAATTATTCCAAGAAAACTTGGCTTATTAGGCAAATCAGGCCTTGCATAGTAGGCTGAGAAGTGCGTTCTGGCTATTAGGTACGATATATATATATATATATATATATATATATATATATATATATATATATATATATATATATATATATATATATATATATATATATATATATATATATATATATATATATATAAAAGACCAAGGATTGATAAGAGAGGTTAAAAGTCAAGTTAGGTTAGGTCTTGTTTATTTATACCAATAAGTAGTGTTTATTTACGTTGCTATTAAAAAAGTTTCTGGTTTGTCCAAATTCAGTAAAAATACATTTTCTGGTGGTCCATCACTACTTATTGGTACTTTCAATCAAATTTATATATATATATACTTTAATTTTAGGAGGATAGGCTATAGTGATCATTTCACCTCCTTTTCTTCTATCTTCGATCTTCGGTATACAGTATTTGACACAGAACCTCTCCTCGTAGCGCTTTGTTTTTTTTTAGTTTCAGTGCCATTTAGTTGCATGTCTTTGTACCTTTTCCAGTATATCTATGTGCTTTTTGAGATATAGGCACCATACAACCACTGCATAATCCAATTTTAGTCTCAAAGGTCATGAACAATTTCTTTAATATTTTCCTATCCATGTACTGTATAGTGTTTGAAAACAGTTCTAAAGTTGGAAAGTATAGCATATATGCCTTGCATTATGTTTTTCGTATGGTACTCAGGTGACAGTTTTCTACCCAGAACAACCCCTAGATCTCCTTCTTTATCAGAATACTTTAAAATTCTTTCACATAATTTAGGGTGTGTGTGTGGCTGATTATCTCATATTCCACATTCCATAACATGGGATTTATTCACATTAAATTCCAATTGCCAAGTGTTGCTCCATACACTTATTTTGTCCAGGTCTTCTTGAAAGGCATGATAATCATCTAGTTGCTTATATTCCCTAATAGCTTGGTATCATCAGCAAACATGTTCATATAATTCTGTATTCTTTCATTTATATAGACAATGAACATTACTGATGCTAGAACTTAACCCTGTGATATTCCACTAGTAATATTTCTCCAGCCCGACACATTGTCTCTGATTACTACCCTCATCTTTCTCTCGGACAATTTTGTCATTCGTGTCCGAAGTCTACCTCTCACCCCTCCAGTATGGTGCAGTTTCCAGAACAACCTCATATGTGGGGCTCTGTCAAATCCCTTTTTTAGAAGTCCAGATAAATGCAGTCGACACAATCATCTCTTTTCTGTAAGATCTTCAAGGCTCTATCATAGAAACTTAGTTGATTTGTTATTGGGAATTTGCAAAAACGTAGTTTGCCCCTTCAGTTTTGCATGACATTTTTCAGATGTATTATTGCCAAGAGTCATGGGTGCCCATAAAACAAGTGCTAGACAAAGCCTATGTCTTACATAGCAAACTGAGTGAAGCATCTCTTCCCAAGAATATTTTTGGAACCTTCACTCCAGTGCCCCGGAATGGTCTACCTCTCTTCAGTATTGGACCCAGAGATGCCCGTCATGAGGAGGTACCTAGTAGCATTATCTTAAAGTACCCAGTTCAAACTTATCTAGAAGTACAAACAGATCATGTGTTGAGCACAGAATTCTCTGCATATATATTATTATAGTACATACAAATTCACTGAATGTAAGGACAGTTTTATTCATAAGCTCAATAAAAATAAAATACAAGTCACAAGGAATTCATGTTAGCATTAATCATTGTTAGCTAGCAAGGTCATTAATGCTAGCCTGAGATTTACTTTTTCTAGTCACAGATGTTTTCTTTTAATCAAAAGATGAGTTTATTCACCACTAGCTATGGGTTAATGTTTGCTAATTCTTTTACAGGGCTTACATTAGGCCTCATGATATCGCTACATTTTATACCAATTGATTAAGTTTTAATATTTAAGCTTTACACGTTGACAGATTGAGAATATGGAAAGAGAGTTTAGCCAGCTGCACTTGCGCACGCAGCATCCAAGCCAAAGGGGTTCAGCTCCAGGTGCTGTACATCAAGAAAAAGAAGAAGATATGGGTAAGTGTTATTTGTCAACTTTCATAAGTGACTCTTCATTATATGTTATATGAGTTCTGTACACAGGCATGAGATTATCACACAAGATATAAGAGTGACAGAAAGATAGGACCTTCAGTTTATGCCCAAGTGCTCATTAATTTATATTAATTGTTGTTATTTTTGTAGTTGTGTTAAAGTTAGCTGATTTATTTTCACAATAATCACATAAACTTGATAGTTAATTGCTTTGTGAGTCTCTTATAAAAGAAATCCAGGGAAGGAGAACTACAAGTGTCTAATGAGGAGCTCATTGTTGTATGCATAAAAAGTCTGGAATAAACAGATTCGTGAATCTATTTGCAAGGAAAAAATAGAGACTTTGCAGTACTCAACTGTATAATAAATATTTAATAAAAACTGTCACAAGATTAGGATGCTTTATGATCCCTTAAAGCCTTACTGTTTCCCAATATTGTATATGTATTAAGACAAGTGTTAGTGTATGTTTAAATTTCTATTATATTTTATATTACTGTTTCCAATAGTGTATAAGTATAAAGACAAGTGTTGTTGTATGTTTAAATTTCTATTATATTGTATATTATTGCAGTATATATGGTTGGTCGAGATGAACTTCAAAAACAAGAAGATGAATGTCTTGACAGCATCTTAAAGCTTCGTAAGAGACATCTTGCAAGTACTCTTCCTGAGAAAGCAAACTCCAGTAATTCCAGGACTAGATCATCGTCTCATAAGAAACAAGCTTAGAAAGTGTCTTATGTTTATTTGGCTAACTGGGAGGGGCTTTCTCAGTAGCTCCACGAGCTAAGCACTGGTCCAGTCATGCCTTAGGGAGATGCACAAGGCCTTTGAGACCCACCCTTGCCTAACAGGAGCCAGAACCAAAACCCAGCTCTGTGGCACTTAACTCAGGGCGCTAATGAGGCTCACTAGAAAAGGACTTTTCATTACACTCAGTGGTATAATTTTCTCTGAGTTGATACTTCTGAATTTGGGAAATGTGTTAGTGACAATGAATGTATACAGTGTGTGTGTGTAATTACTTAAGTATAGCTACAGGATGAGAGCTACGCTTGTAGCCTCTCGTCTTCCCAGTACTCTTTGTTGTATAACACTTTGAACCACTAAGGGTTTTGGCCTCAGCCACCATCTCACTTAACTTGTTCCAACTGTCTACCACTCTGTTTGCAAAAGAAAGCTTTCCAATATTTTTTGGGGCACCTTTGTTTCCTTAGCTTGAATCTGTGTCCTCATGTTCATGAAGTTGCTGGTTTCAGGAATTCCTCTTTGTCAAATTGGTTGATTCCTGTTAATATTTTGTAAAGATGATCATATCACCTCTTTTTCTTCTATCTTCTAGTTTTGGCATGTTTAACGCCTCTAGTCTCTCCCTCATAACTCATGTTTCTCAGTTCCAAAATCCATTTTGTAGCATGCCATTACACCTTTTCCAGTTTCCTTATGTGCTTCTTGAGATTTAGGCACCATACAACTGCTGCATATTCAAATTTTGGTCTCACAAATTCATGAACAGTTTCTTTAGAATTTCACCATCTATGCAATTAAGAGCAAGTCCGAAACACGTACGCTCTTCTCAAAATGTTCTTTATGTGTTCCTCTGGTGTGTGTGTGTGTGTGTTTGTATGTACTCACCTATTTGTGCCTGCAGGATCGAGCATTGACTGTTGGATCCTATCTTTCTAGTCACTGGTTGTTTATAGTAATGACTCGTGGCCTATTTCCCTATCATATCTAGTTTTAAAATTATGAATAGAGTTTACTTCCACAACCTGCTCCTTAAGTTCATTCCATTTTTCCACTACTTTCACACGCACTCTATGTGTGTGTGTGTGTGTGTGTTTGTGCCTTTATAGGTAGGAGGAGGAAGATGGGCCAGGAAGATGGGTAGGCCTGGTGTCTGCACACCTCTGTGTAAGGAAGCAGGGATTGAGTGGAAACAGTACACAGAACAAGGTGGGGGAAAGGCTGGGTGGCAGTGGTTTGTGAGGGAGTGTAAGTGCTTTTAATGTAAAAACAATTGAAAAGGAGTACTATACACTCAGTCTTAAGAAGCAGTGGCTCAGTGGGCACAACACCCAAGAGGTGTTGGTTCGATGTTCAGTCAACGTTATCAGTGGTAATTCAGTGGTGAATCAATGTTGATGATGTTGATTCAGTAATTGGATTAGCATTGGTCTTGGATATTGTGCCCACTAGGGAGTGCTGCTGTTATAATTTGCTGGAGTTTGATAGTGCTTCTCTCTTCATGAGGCTCCAGTACAATATATACTGAAGAGATGAGTGTTTATATTTTCCCAGATTGATGCCTTCCCATCTCATAATGATAAGATATAAATAAACTGAACCAGTAGACTTGACATTGTATACAAAATATATTAATAAGCCAAACAATTTATAGATTTTAAAAGTAAGAGAACATGGCTTAGGTACAACACTTGTTTCATTTAAATGCAATTTTGTCAATCCAGTAAATGAGCTAAATCAAACAAGCAGGATAGTGGTATGTAATAATTAGCACATTTGACTTATATGTTGATTACATTAATACTTATGGACACAGCAACACTAAGTGAACTGTGCATGTTGGTGACCAAGTCACAAATTTTACAATAAATGAAATGCCTCTTTCTGGTAGATCCCTCAGTGGCTCCTTGAAGTTATCTCGCTGAGATGGCTTCACACTACTGGGTGGGTTATGTCAATCACACAAGTCCTGTTTGGCCTACCAGGGACCAGAACCTGGCCTCCTCACACAGGTGCAAGGAACAGGGGATTCATATAATCACCCTCACCAGGAAAGCATTCAGAAAGTCAGTAAAGCAATACAGACAACTGTAAGGTTCATAAAAAATGAAGCAACAAAACAGCCAAACAACTTTGTAAATGAATAGGTCAAGACAGTTGGTTTACTTAAAACTAGCTCAATCTCGTTTGTACCTGTGGTTGCCACCAGGCAGTCCAGAGGCAATGGGCAACCCAATAGCTGCCCATCAATTAGTCCAGAGCTGATATACAATGAGTACATACTAACAAACCTGCTAGGTAGGGAGTTGGAGAGCCACCGTGGCTCTACATTCAATGCTGGATTTCTGGGGAGAGGGGCCTTGGTGGCTCCCTGAAGTTAACTGCAGAGAAAAGGGCAAACACAGGACTTAGCAGGGAAGAGAAGAGACAGTAGGTACTAGGCTGAAGGAGAGATGATGAGCCAGGAAACCTGGCCCAGTGCAACACAAGACCGACTGGGACCAGGAATATTTACTAAATACTGGTTCACCAAGACCCTGTTAGACCTCTAAAACCCCCAAGCCCACGACACACTGGAAGAGATAGTAGACAAAGCTGTAAATTTATAAACATCATGAACCCAAAGGTAGACTACAGGCTGTCTAGCTTTGATGACACTGAACACCCTGAGAAATACACTCCTTTGAACAGGGGGACCAAGGAAAGAGGATCAACCCACAAAGCACCCACTGCGACAGAACTATTGGCATGGAGGTAGCGGCGAAATACTGCCATCTGACAACACAACCTGTCCTCTTACAAATTACGTCGCAATTTGGCTGTTTGCTCTTATGGCTGAAAATAGATATACATAATTTGAAAATGAAAAAATAATTTAAAATAAATTTTGTATTTTTGTTTTTCCAAAACAGCAAGTTAAGGATCCTCTGGTAGGTTAGGAGGGCAAGAAGGTCTCCTAAGGTCTCAAAACATCGTGAAAACCGTTAATTGAAAGTTTCTTCTCCTAACCTAACCGAGTAAGCGGGAGGACTCAAAACGGGACAGTACATCACTTTCGTCAGTCGATTTTCATTTCAAATTATAGTACGTCCATTTTTTGACCCTAGCGTGCATACGTGCAAAAAGCGACGTAATTTTAAGAGAACGGAGTTGAACAACAAATGATGCACCCCAGCTGGACGAACCAAGCATCAATAACCCAAGGACTCTTCTGAAAGCCAGCTGTGTCATTCTTTGCCAGAAAAGATGGAGAAGGCATGCAAAGGCACAGACTGCCCACCAGGACTAAAAGAACGGAACCCACACCTCTGGAGACGAACATGACACTCCCTAAACCTGCAGCCGAAGGTGAGAGCCAACAAAAACACTGTACAGTACAGTATTGAGAAAAATATCTTGGACTGAAGGGGCAATTGTAAACCAAGAGAGGGAGAGTAACATCAATACTTGGTCAAAAGGCCAAGATGGCTCGGGGAGCACGAGCCAGCTTCATTTTCAATGAACCTTGTACTTGTCTGTATTTCTTCACTGATTTTCTAGATGTTTTCTCAGGGAGGGTGATTCTAAGAATCCCCCGATTTTTGCACCTGCGTGAGGCCAGGTTCTGGCTCAGGTCCCCTGGTTCCAATGACTGATGACCTAGTAATGGGAAACCATCTCTGAGAGCTTCAGGGAGCCACCGAGGGGCTCCCAAGAAAATGGAGGCGTCTGTGCAACTTAAAGCTTTAGCAAATGATGTAATATGCAATATAGGTGCCAAAATTTATTTTGAATCATTATTTTATTGTTGAAGTAATTATATACTCTGTACACCTAATCAACTTTCATCAGTTGATTAATATTATATGTGGTTTAGGTTTTCATTGAAAGTATAAAAATATTAATTTTAAAGCTTCAGTTTCTTGCAAACAGGTTTTTATGTTATTAAATATATGCTTTGCAAAGTGTTGGGAAGAAATATAAGAAATCGGTGAACTTTACATTATAAGAAATGCCTTCCTTCGAACTGTTATCATACTGTACTCACAGAATTATGCTGTGATTGTGGAGTGAGAGAGTGCTTGTATGTGGGTGCAGGAGGAAAGGAGCATGCTGGCACTTTAAGTGGTGATGCACCCAGTTAAATTTACAAACTTAAAAATATAAATTACAAATATATTAAAAATATTTTTGCACTCAATGATAGTTTTTCTTTGTCTTTTATAGATGGCTTTATTTGGCTCATATAAATACATTTTTAATTGGTAATGTTTTCTTTTAGGATGAAAGTATATAAAATATGGCCTGCCTGCAGTGAGTGTTTCAAGTGAACTATTCATATGGTATACAGTACAGCCTTCCAGACTTAGCACCTCTTTTGATTTATTACAACTGATACCGTTCATGGGACTTGACACACAGTCATAGATCAAAAAGGAAGAGAAGAGTTATACCTTATTTTTGGGGGGAGGGGGCTAGATAGTTGTAAGGTTCTGGAGTAATGAAACAGAGCAAGTGATTATTCAGTGTTTTATTTCGAGTAATACAGAAAGAAGCAGCAGCAGCACCAAGATTCTAGTGAGGCTTCCCCCAACTGAAACCTTGGTATGTGCTACAAGAATCCCTTTGCTGAACCAATGATGTATTTATGTTCAACTGGTATCCAAGGAGGAAAAAATCTAATTGAGATAAAGGTTGCAGGAATGGACGAATTTGTGTGTAATATCTAATACAAATGACCAACCTATACGTGATATGAAAGCAACGACATTTCAGGCCATCTGAACCTTTATCAAGTGGTGACAATAAGGGTCAAGGACAGATTGAAACATCCTTACTTTCATTTCACATGTGTAGGTTAGATCATCTGTTTCAGCCATGTTACTGAGACTTATTCTCTGCATCTAATGATAAATAATTTACAAGACTGTACAAGTGTTGAAATACAAAACATGATGAACTTACAAAGCTCTTTATTATTTAGACACAAGATCTAATATATATTACACTTTCTATACATGTACTTTATCTTTTATACATGTACAGTACTTTATAAAGTATGTATCCATACTTTAACACACTCTTCCACATTACATCAGTGACCCCTACAGAATCTATACCATAAATTCATCACTGTACTTTTCCACATTTATATTTAAGCATTCTACACCTCACGCATGTAACCTGCATGCTTGCTGCACTCTTGATTTTTGTATCCAAAACCATTTCAGTACAGTACTTGGTATTTAAAAACTCAATTATATTAGCATATAATATTTTATCAAGATATTCAATATTCCCCACTACCCACTTTTTACCAACATTTCTCAGAAAACTACTTAAAAATTATCAGCATTTTATTAATCATTCTACAATATTACAGATCCGTATTTCACTAGCAAACAAGCATCGGAAATATATACATTTTACATTCAACATAATATACAAAGTATAAATCAATTTGAAAAAAATAGTTCTGGGTCAGTTACTTTGTATGGACATCCCGAGTGACATTTTATAAATACATATA